GGAGGCTGGCGGTTGTTGTTTGATGATGGGAAGTGAGAAAGCAAGCGAGCTGTGACGATGATGAATATGCTTAGTACTACATTGTTTATGAACGAAGTTAACGTTGTCATGATGATTACAAATTATCAGTATTAGAAAGAGAGAGGAAAAGCTGGCGCGGGGGTGTGGGCATAGATGTCAACCAAACAAAAGTGTCTCTTCAACCATCTTTATACGTTTACCGGAGCTCTGTATCAAACTTTTCTGTTGCCTGTGATGCCGTTGTTGACCCACGAAACACAGGAAAGGGGCAAGGGGAGGAGTCTCACCGGAGACTTGGCTGAAGTGTACACGGAGAGGCGAGCTTCGGTGCACGGGCCACCATGCTTTTCGGCAGTGCTAGCGCGATTGACCATTGGCGGCGCGTCTCTTTGGCGAACCTGCCCGCTGTGTGGAATTTTGAAGCTTCTGGAGCTTCTCGAAAGCCTCCCACCTGCTGTTATTGTTTTGCACCAGAGCTATACCTAAACACTAACACTTTCAGCGGCTCGTTTCGATAACATTCGTGCCGTCACTTTCTCCAAACCAAAACTTCCCAACTTTGACGACCAGACCAGCCCAGTCCCAGTTCTTTGCTCGACAACACCGAATACCGTCCCCGATTACGACACGACATCTTCGATTCCCTCCTTCCGAACCGACTTACAAGACCAAACACCCACCAAAAGAAACCGAACGAGCGCAGACATGGTGCAAATCAGCGAGGTCAAGGGCAACAGCCGCGACAATCGCACGGCCGCCCACACCCACATCAAGGGCCTCGGCCTCAACTCCCAGGGAATCGCAGAGAAGCAGGCCTCGGGCTTCGTCGGCCAGACCACGGCGCGCGAGGCATGCGGTGTCGTCGTCGACCTCATCAAGGCACACAAGATGGCCGGCCGGGGCGTCCTGCTAGCAGGCGGGCCCGGCACCGGCAAGACGGCGCTTGCGCTCGCCATCAGCCAGGAACTCGGCACCAAGATCCCCTTTTGCCCCATCACGGGCAGCGAAATCTACTCGACCGAAGTCAAGAAGACCGAGGTGCTCATGGAGAATTTCCGGCGCGCCATCGGCCTCAAAGTGCGCGAGACCAAGGAGGTGTACGAGGGCGAGGTGACGGAGCTGACGCCCGAGGAGGCCGAGAACCCGCTCGGCGGCTACGGCAAGACCATCACCACGCTGCTGATTGGGCTCAAGAGCGCAAAGGGCCAGAAGAAGCTGCGTCTGGACCCGAGCATCTACGAGGCTATCCAGAAGGAGCGGGTCACGGTCGGCGACGTCATTTACATTGAGGCCAACACGGGCGCCTGCAAGCGCGTCGGCCGCTCCGACGCCTACGCCACCGAGTTCGATCTCGAGGCGGAGGAGTACGTGCCTATCCCCAAGGGTGAGGTGCACAAGAAGAAGGAGATTGTGCAGGATGTGTCGCTGCATGATCTCGATGTCGCCAATGCCCGTCCCCAGGGCGGTCAGGATATCATGTCCATGATGGGCCAGCTGATGAAGCCCAAGATGACGGAGATCACGGACAAGCTGCGGTCCGAGATCAACAAGGTGGTCAGCAAGTACATTGACCAGGGTGTGGCCGAGCTGGTTCCTGGCGTGCTGTTTATTGACGAGGTATGTTTGTTTGTTTGCTTGCGGGCTGAAACAATCGCCATTTTTTTGTTGTTCCCTGGGCTAACAAAGAAAACTACTTGACAGGCCCACATGCTGGACGTAGAGTGCTTCACCTACCTGAACAAAGCGCTCGAGTCGCCCATCTCCCCCATTGTCGTGCTGGCTTCGAACCGCGGCATGACCGGCATCCGCGGTGCCGAGGATCTCGTTGCCGCCCACGGCATCCCGCCCGACTTCCTCAGTCGTCTGCTCATCATCCCCACCACCGCCTACGACCCGGAGGAGATCAAGAGGATCGTCAAGATCCGCTCGACAACCGAGGGCGTCAAGATCACAGAGGCTGCTATTGACAAGATTGCGGAGCACGGTGTGCGCATTTCGCTTAGATACTGTCTCCAGCTGTTGACTCCTGCGAGGTACGTTGTTGTCTTCCATTGAAGAGTGTTTGCGGTGATGAAACAAGTCCAATGTCACATGTAATATGTATAACTGACACATACACATTTACGCAAAACAGCATTCTGGCCAAGGTCAATGGTCGCAACGAGATCGACGTCCAGGATGTCGCCGAGTGCGAGGACCTCTTCCTTGATGCTCGTCGCAGCGCCGCCCTACTAAGCAGCGAGCAGGGTCAGGAGTTTATTTGTTGATCATCAGCTGTTGTTTCTCTCTCACTCGTCATATCTCACAAGAAGCAATTTGATAGATGAGCACGGCAGGGGTGTGTTGTTTAAACAGGTCGGTTTGGCGGGGTTTAAAAAGAGAGATACTTTTTTTTTTTTTTTCTGCGTTTCATGGGTTATCAATGGAGTCGGCGCATATTACTGTGGTTTTTCTTGTATCTGTTTTTTTTTTCTATGTTGCATGTTTCACCATAAGTCCTAATGTCATCAGGAACACACAGCTCGGGTTTGTTGTTGTGGTCGGTTGTCGTTTGCGGTTTTGTTTCACTTTTTTTTTTCCCCCTCGGACGTACCCAAGTTCTGGAAATACTGGGACGCAGAGTGGAGGGAAAATAGGAAAAATAACCAAACCATTCATCAACCTTTTCTGTTCCTTATCCCCCCCCCCCTGTTCCGTCTTCACCGCCTGCTTACCCTCGCTCATTCTCCATTATCTCACACAGTTCGGCATTTGAAAACTGGATGGAGGCACAATTCACAAGGGAGGAGAAGAACAATCAAGAGGCACAGCACAGCACCATCCCAACGAACAACAATGCGAATTGATTGAAGGCAAGCAACCAAGCAAGCAAGCAAAGGGAGGGAATGGGGGAATGGAGGGGGAAATGCTAGACCAAATTCGGCGGCGGCGGCGGCACGGAACATGGTCCTTTGTTGTGTGCCCCTTTGTTCGGGAGCCTCCCAGCTTTGCTTTCAGCATTCCAGAGCGAACGAGCGAGCGCGCGGTTGGCCCGCATTCCTTTGATGGTCCGCAAGGGCCACAGTTGACTAACAATATTCGGCACTTGGAACTGATTGCGATATCTGTCTGTCTGGGAGGAGGCTGGCGTCTAGTTCACTGGATAGCTGTACGAACCATGTCATTTGTTCCTGTCTATCGCTTGATTGTTGTCTGTTGCCGAACTGGGAATTTGGGTTTTGTGTATGTGGTATCTTCCCTCCTGCCTATGCATACCTATCTGTCTCTCTCTCTTTCTACCTCTTGTCCTTGTCATTTGTTCAGAACCACCAGGTCCAAAACTGACTGCGAACGGATTATTTTGTGGAGTGTGGTTGCAAACGCTGGACAAAGAATTTTTTCAACATGTCCTTTGGGTCCGCTCGGTACATTCCCGAGACATTTCCAAGTCCCCAACATTTTCACAACTCACGGTGTCCTTGGTTATCATTTCTCTTGGCCATCAACCCGTTCTGTTTCAATTATTCGATTCGGTATCTGATTACCTCCGCACTCTGCTCCGAATTCGCCTCCGGTATGGTACTGGTTCTGCGGTACTGCTGGCCCCTTCCATTTCCAATTTCTCAGTCCCAAATGTTGACCAAGTTGGATCAATACACTTTGACTTTTCAGTTCATATACTGTCTAATCGAAGGAATCGGGAATATGACCCAATACGCATAGCAAGGGATCATTGTTTTCTAACCCGGTAACCCGGCGATATGGTGATGGTGTGTCTTGTCTTGTCTTGTCTGTCCGGATGTATGGAGGGGTCTATGTCGCAACAAAGGAAAGTTGGCGGAACAATCCAAACAAGACCTAACCATGATCGTCTTCCCCTTTCCTTCCCTTCCCTTCCCTTTTCCTTCCTCTGTTGGTCGTTGTGGAGTCTTCCTGGGTCCCTACCCTATGCATTTTTTCCCCGGCTTTCTCTTTCTTCTGTGCCCCTCGTTTTTGCCTTGCCTTGCGTTTTGTCTTGTTCCGGATTTGCGAAGTGGTGGCCATTATCAACCAACAACCCAAGCAAGATACCACACCCACAGACAACCACTCACAACCACATACCACGTTCTCGGGTTCTTGTTTTGGACCTTGTCTTGTGTTTCTCCCCTCCCCCTCTCCCCCATTGTTATCCCACCCCTCCATGTCTTCCTTGCAATTTTACACTTTGCCATTATTCTTCCGTCTACTTGTTCTGTGAAGCTTCCTTCCTTCGGTTTGTCCTACCTCCCACTCACCATCATTTCCCCCTTCCCTTCCTACCTCCTTCTCCTGTGTCTGTCGGTACATACATTTTGACGACCAACATCTAGAGCGGAACGGGAAGAAAGAGAGACTGGACCGGACCGGGTTACCATACCTTCTCACCTGTCAACTGTCGTCAGCACTGCTTGCGTACACTAACTTTTTGTTTCTCCCCTCGTCGTCGTTTGTGAGCAGCGGACGGGTTAACTTGTACAGCACAGACTTGCAGACGGGCTCGTTTTCCTTCTCTTGTTCGCCCCCCTCGTTCTCTCGCCTGCCGACAGCCAGGTCGTCGTCTCTGTCTCAAAACGATTGGTTCTGACGCCGTTGGAGCCGTCTGTCCGTTGGGAACTGTTCGTTGGGGTGGGACTCCACATTTGGGACGGGTACTCGCCCCCCTCCCCTTCCCCCTTTTGTGTTTTCTCTCACATCTTGAGTCGGGAAGGAGGAGGAACAGAGAGAAGTTGAAAAGTGACAACCAGAGAAACAAGGGACGACAAGACAAGACAGGGAACAGATAATAAAACAAAAGGAGGGGGAAGAAGAATTAGATTGACTGGACACACGGAACAAGAGAGAGACATTTCTTATCCACCCGCAACAGGAGGGCGCCAACCAACGGAGAAAAAAAGAAAGACAGAAAAAAGAGAGAGAGGGACACGAGTAACGAACGAACGACTGGATCCCCGGGCACTGAGGCTGGGTGTGAAGAAATAATGACAGACGTCGGCGGTGGTCTTGGACTCGTCACTTCTTCTTCTCCTACCACTACTACTACTGCTGATACTACTCACACTCATTCGTCTCATATGCAGAGTCAGACCCAGACCCAGAACAAGTGGCAACAAAAGAACCAGACACAGCATAATCACTCGCTTAGAGACACCAGCACTCGTCGTTCTACATCAGCATCATTGTCTACTTCCACTTCCAAGTCAACAACAACGACACCTGCCACCACGACGACAACCACAAAAGGACGAATCACTCGCTCTGCAGCAGCAGCTGCAGCCGTCGCCGCCGCCGCTGTTTCCTCCAAAGCAGGTGAGGCATCCGAAGCCAGAAAAGCAGCTGGAGATAAGGACAAAGACAAAGAAAAGGCCGGTTCACAAAAACAGAAGAAAACGAGCAACACCAGCAGCGGCAAGATGTCGTCGACGATGACTACCACCGGTGGTCTGACCAACACTGCCAATGCTGCTGCGTCCTCGTCCTCCTCAAACTCTTCAAGTAGTCGACACTCGTCAAACACCACCTCGCCCACTTCACCTCAAGCTGTTGCTCAGCATACCTCCATGTCTACACATTCCCATTCACATTCCCATTTACATGGACATTCACATTACTCCCACCAGCAGCAGCACCAGCAACAATACAACACCCGCTCTCAGCCTCATCCTACCTCATACACAACAGACCCCGCCCTAGCTGTCCAACACAACCTTTCCACTTCCTCTCTTCCTTCCACAGACATAGATACCTCCCGCCAACAACCCCAAACACAAGAAGACAGGATAAGAGGTCCCTTAACTCGCAAACGAGCAGCAGCAACTCTCATCACAACAGACCTAGCGTTACCCACACCCTCACCACAAAAACAGCGATTGACTATAGACCCGGGCGCCGCTCGCTCCGGAGGTACAAAAGTAGAACAACACCCGGCACCAGCATTAGCATCAGCACCAGCACCAGCACCAAGAAGTGCCGCTGCCGCTGCCGGTGGTAGTGGTGGTGATGCGAAAGAACCCGGTGGTAGTGGTAGCGCCAGCCCCCCGCAAGGAACAGGAACAAGAGCAGGAGCGGGAGGGACAGAATCAGCGACTACAGAGCTGGATAACCATTCGGCGGGTTTATCGGTGGGAGGCTCGGTGGGAGGAGGTGGTGGTGGTGGGCAAGCTGGGCAGGGCGGATACGGAGGAGGAGGAGGAGGAGTGCAGAGGGATTTGATTTGTTTGTGTACGCCTGCGCCAAAGGTTCCTAGGCCTAGGAATGGTGAGTTCTTTTGTCCCTTATTCTTGTCTTTTTTTTACTTCCTTCGTGTTCTCATCTCTTCTTTATTTTCCTTTTCTCTTGTTTCCCCCCCCCCCCCCCCCCCCCCCCATTAATTATCAATTTTAATTTCGTCTCTTTCCATTACGCACCATCTCAAAAACATACCAAACTTCATTCCCTCTACTCCATAAACACCCTTCCCCCCTTTCTCCCCTTCACCCCCTTGTATATCAACCCCAACTAACATCCCCCCCTCCCCCCAAAAAAACAGCATTCATCCTCTACCGCCAACACCACCAAGCCCGCGTCGTCGCCGACCACCCGGGCCTCGCCAACCCGGAAATCTCCAAAATCATCGGCGAGAAATGGCGCGCCGAATCCGACCTGCACAAAGAAGAATGGAAGCAGCTCGCTGAGGAAGAAAAGCTGCATCACCAGCGAAAATACCCCGAGTACAAGTACCAGCCTAGAAGAGGGAATAAGCATACCTCTACTTCCTCTATTGTTGTTGGTGTTGGTGCTGGTGGGGGGACAGGGAGTAATAGGGGTAGTCCTACGACTCCTGGTGGTCCTGGGGGTATTGGTGGGATTGGGGGAAGTGGGGGGATAGGAGGAGGAGGAGGGCAAGAACATCCGGGTAGATGCCCCAATTGTGGAGGGAGGTATATCGCTACGCCTAGGACGCCTTCGACGCCGTTTACGGCGGGAAGTGCGAAAAGCGTGATGCACGGGGGTGAGGGACGGACTAGTGGAGGTGGTGGACAGTCGGGGATGGATACGCCCAGGGGAAGTATCGAGCATCATACTTCGTCGTCGTCGGCTCGCGGGCAACAGCACTATGGTCAGCAACATGGAGGAGGATACTACAGAGACCACCATCGAGCGTCTGTATCCTCGCAAGGAGGCGGATACCAAGCTTACCCGAGCAGAGATTACCACCACAGTCAGACGTACCATTACCCGACACCTTCGCATCATCAGCCATATCCTGCCCATCCGCTGTATGATATGCCGCAGGAGTATGATGTTGCTACACCTACTGGCACTAGCTCTAGCTCCAAGCGCAGACGGTATGATTCGACGGCGATGCCTTATCGTCCTGAAAGGGAATATGCGCTTCCTTCGCCGACTACACCGTATGGCAGTAGCAGTCGACATCCCAGTGTAGGCGGTCAATACGCTGTCCGCCCACCGTCTCATTATCATCAACAAAACCCAATGTCTCCGACACCGCTAGGACTTGGACACAGTTATGGCCATGGACAAGTCCCGTTACATATTTACCCCGCCCCTCCACCTCCTACACCCTCTGGAACCATTGGTAGTGGTGGTGGTGGTGGCGGCGGAACTGGAAGTCTCCCACCCACACCGGGCTTCGCTCCCGCACCAGCTGGACCACCAACTTCCACCGCTGCACTTTCCGGTCCTGCATCGATTGCACCCTCAGGACGCGGACGGAGTCCACTGTCGAATACTATGGCGCCGCCTCCTCGGCCTCCTAAACTCTCTGTTCCTGGTTCAAGTGGCAGCTACCATCATGGTCAACAACACTCAGCGTCCGGTCGTTCTCGCTCTGGCCTCAGCCCACTACGCACGAGAGGTGATGAATCCGTGTTTGACCCATCCTTGCGTTTACCGCCGTTACAGACGCACTTGGCTCACTTGCCGCCTACTTCTCCTGAATCTGGATCTGGCTCCTCAGGAACTGGTGCCGGTCCAGGCATCATTTCCGCTGCTGGCGGTGGCGGCGGTATAGGACTTGGGATAACTTACCCCAGCGATCCTCGCGATCCTAGATCTGCTACTTCGTCGTCCCCGTACCCGCGATTGACGGGACATGGTACAGCAGGGAACACGCCCACTGCTGGTTCTTTCCCCGCGAGTTATCATCAGGGCGCTCAGCCTCATCCTACACTCCAACAGCCACCCACCTCGGTTCATCCCTCATGGGCAACACTCCATCACCAAGGACAAAAGGAACAGCAACAGGTTGCGCGGGGTGAGCCATCCCCCGTTGCAGCAGTAAGGGACAACATCAGGGAACCTACCACGGCTACCACACAAGACTATTCTCACAGTTCAGACCCCAACACTACCAATAGCAGCACCAACAGCAAAAGGCAACTCGCTCTCCTAGAAGCCCAACAGCGCCAGCAATCAGTAGAAGCAATGGTTATGAGCATCGACTACGTCCGCAAGGCGTCGGTCCTTCGGCGGATCGGGCGGGAACTACCCGCTTACGGTGCCGTAGCTGACAACATTGACAATATGTCTGAGACCGGGGATGATACTCAGGAGCAGCAGCAGATGGTAACAACGAGAGGGCCGATCATTGCTGTTGAGGGACCAAACAAGGAGTTGTTGCGAGTGGTTGGCAAGGCAGTAGAGAGGGCGTTGGTAGAGCTGGGGGATTGTGAGGTCCGAGCCTGGGTTGGCGAGGGTGATGTTTGGGGCGGTGATGGTGACGAGGCGGGTGAGAAAGGGACGACGAGTGAGAAAGAGAAAGAAAACAAAGGTGGTGGTGGCGTCGAAATGAGTGATACCGTCATCGTACGCGGTTCATCACCCAAATCCAACAACAACGGGCAAGACCGCTCGTTTTCCCACTCCCCGCCGAGCGGAATTGTCACCCCCGTACCGTCCACAAACACAAACCCCTTCCCCCGCTACCTCGACCTCATGCTCTCCTGGCACCTCAAAGCCTCGGAACTGAGCAAATTCGTCACCACCCCTTATTTCTCTCCCTCCTCTTCCCCTTCTTTATCCCCGTTACCACCCCCCTCTCGAAACCCCTCCCACTCACCCTCCTCTACCAGCCAAAACCTCCCCAAACTGCCCATCGCCCTCCTCCCCCTCGGCTACTCCCTCACCTACTCGGACCGCTTTGCATGCACCATTCCCATCGCCGACGCGTACGCGCCCGTAGATCACTGGCAATGGATGGCGACCCTCTGGCGTGGCATCGTCGGGCCGGATCTGACGGTATATGTGAAGCCTGTAACAGAAGAGGAGACAGTGGTGGAGGGATGGGCGCCGGTTGGAGTAGAAGTGAAAGGAGACAGGTTGATTGTTGTTCGGGTTGTTGTTCCGTCTGGATGGGGTGGACAAATGAAGGGAGTGGTAGAGTTGGGCAGTGAGGCGGAGAAGCAGTTGGCGTATGAGGTTGGGGAGTGGGTTAGGGCCGGAGCGTTTGGGGTGCAGGGAAGGGGAGGGGTGGCGAGGGGGGAGAGGGAGAGGGATCTAGTGCCGCAGGGAGGGTATGAATATGGAAGGGGGCATGGGTATGGTGGTGAGGGTTGGTGATAAACATGAAGATGAGAAAACGAAAAGGAACGGGGAAGTGAAAGGTTTGGATGGCTAGAGGTATGAGTGGTGAGGATATCCAAGCGAGTTGTGAAGCTGTTGGATAGATAGACGGACTTGGTAGATTTTTGGTCATAAATCGCCTTTGAACTGAGAAATACAGTGAACCATTGGAAGGACAGTTTCTGGGGACTTTCAACTTGACCGATTTTTCGATGTCACGACTTTTTTTCGTTGAGTGTCCTGCGAGTGTCTTGTGTGTGGAAGGCGCCATTCAATTGCTCTTCGGGCGCGTGCGCAGTGATGGTTAGGTTGTTATGTGCCTAGCAAGTCTGGCGCTGTCTGTAGGCAAAGTCTGTTAGTGGAACATGCGCTGTATGACAGGCTGCACCCCAACGTCTGTTCACCTACGGTGTGTTACTAACCTTGCGACCCCTCACTTCCAGCAAACACGACGATGAGATGGAAGAAAACGGAGAAAATTCTGAGCTCAACCATCCAACGGCGTGAGGCCAGTCAAGACTGTTTGGTACCAACAGGAACCTCGTTGGTTGTTGTAGCCTCGACAACACAGAAAGGCAGCGGCTTATAAGATACACCCGTGACGGGCGCGAACCCGAAAGCTTGATCAGCACCTCCAAATGAAGACGCCCGACCCATTCATCAATCATTGAATTGAGCCTTCACTTTCAACCCTCGCTGCCGCCTTCGGCTCGGATGAAAGCATGTCCTCCCAAGACTCAAACCCGAAAAAGAACCTGATAATCGATACCGACCTCTTCAGTGACGTCGAGTAAGTTTTTCCCTTCCTCCACACCCATTTCCCCTCCCCCCACTCCTACTTGGGACTAACAAACGAAGCGACGCCGGCGCCCTCCTCCTGGCATCCACCTCCCTCCACATCAATCTCCTCGGCGTCCTGGTCAATAAACCCTCCACCTACTCTGTCCTCGCCGCCTCCGCAATCGTCTCATACTACACCCGTTCTCAAAACAAGGCCATCCCCATCGGCGTGTTCCGCCACCCAACCAGCGATGGCACTGTAACACCCCTTCCTGACACCACCTTTCTCGACGTGGTGCACTGGCACCTAGGGGAATTCGCTTCCAAAATCGCCTACCAGTTCGGCTCCCCTTCTTCGCCCGACTATGTCAAAAAACCCAAGGGACCAAGCATACCATGGGGACACGCCGCAGACGCCTGGGACGCAGTTCAACTTTATCGAAAGCTGCTCAGCGAAGCGGACGACGAGAGCGTAACTATTGCTTCGATAGGATTTCTTGATAACCTGTCACTTCTCCTCGACTCAAAACCTGATTCGCTTTCTCCATTGACTGGGCGCCAGTTAATATCGCAGAAGGTGGCAGAGCTGGTGGTCATGGGGGGTCGATACCCAGAGGGAAGAAGTTGGAATTTCTTTGGTTCTGATCCCGACTCGCCTCATCATAATGGTGGACGCGGACTGGGATTGGGACCTAAGGGGACGGCGAATGTAGTTAATAATTGGCCGACACTTCAAAAGGATGGGTGGAAAGGAAGGGTGGTGTACGTCAGTGATGAAGTTGGTGGGAACGTCTTAACCGGCGCAGAGTTGGTGAAGAAGGGGCCGAAGGGGGATCCGGTCGGTCGCGCTTATGGGTATTATGCTTATGGCGAGGCGAGACCGAGTTGGGATCCGGTGGCGGTGTTGTATGCCATTGATGGATTGGGGGAGCTGTTCAAGTATGATGAGCGGTACGGACATGGAAGGAACTGGGTGGATGACCAAGATGGATCAAATAGGTGGATTTGGGAAGAAGACACGAAGAATCAGTTTGTGCTGGCGTCGATGGCAGATCATGAGACGGTGGCAAGGGAGATTGATCGCTTGTTTCTCGAGGGAGCGTTGAGCGCGGTCACGGAAAGGGCTGGCCCGTGACCTACTGTATCGAGAAGACGGACAGGTCCCAAGTTCTGAGGTCAGCTATTTGGAAACCACTGCACTCGTTCCAACCTGGTGCTTCCCTGGTTCCATAACGATGATTACATCGAAGGTTCTAATCATAGTGTATTCAAAGTTTACCTAGTACTAGTAGAATGACTGAGCTATATTATTCCCGATACGACTTCACACATGCAACCACCCACGCACAGGCAAAAGCCTCAAGACAATAAAGGGTGAAGAACGTAGACGAACACATACCCGCACACGCAAAAAGCCGATAATAAATAAAAAATAAAAAAAAAGGGGGTAGATTCGGTACGTCTGGACATCATTCATCCTTCAAGTACCTTATGTCAGTTCTAATTTCGACCACAAGCCAAACGCGTTTTCTTTTTCTTCTTCTTCTTGAAGTGTATAATATAGAACTTAGTTAACTTACCGCATCGTCCCTATTAATGTCCTTATGCCATTTTTTGACTTTCCGCACCCTATACTAACTAACTATATGAGCTGCTGTCATAACTACAAGCCGTTTTCACGTGTAGAAATTCCTGTATTTTCTTTGTTTCTGAACATCATAGTGCGCCAAGTCAAGTTAAAAAAAGAAAAGAGGATTGAAATGATTCTGTGATACTACAGAGATATTATAAAGTGAATGTAGTTATTTGTAAGGTACGAGTGTGCTTGAACTTTCGGCTTCTATTTAATTGAGTGTAGTCTAGAGGAGGTATGTGGGGAGTGCAAGTGTAGTCGGGTTGGGGATCTGTGGTTGTGTAAGTAGCGATGCGCAGAAATGTGGCCTCTGGACTGTACGGGAGAGTATCGTATATCAACATACATATAGTCGGATGTTGTATGACATTTGACAGTGGGTTTTACCATACAAAACACGGGGTTTTACATAGGTATCAGCTGTTATCGGTTGGCTTGTGGGGAAAATAGAGTGCGTGAACTCAAAATAGGGTGTATGCGGATATTGGGAATAGTGCGTGTATCGCATTTGAACTCTTGATGGCTGGCTGGCTGGCTGGTGACAAGTGGAAAGGGGATAACCAGATGGATATCGATATGATACTGGATAAAATTTGCTTTGTAATGTCTTCCTTCGGCTTCAACTGCTTCAACTGCTTCGGGCCTCAGTCAGTCCTTTCCGCCTTGCTGATAGCAATATAATTGATAGAGATACCTGTAACGCGAACGATGTATAAAGTGATTGCACCGATAGCCGCTCCAATTTAACTTCACCATAAACCTCACCCCCTTACCCATTCCCATTCCTTTTTTGTTAAGATATGTACATTCAACCTCTTCTCTACCTTTTTCCCTTCGCCATCTCTCGTCTAGAACTAGACCCCGCCACAACACTCGCCCTCCTCCTTCCCCTCTTAGTGGTAGTAGGAGTAGGGTTTCCCTCCGCCGCCGCCACATGCAGACTCTGGGTACGTTGCTGAAGTAAGCTCTACTTGACCTCATCCACCTTTGTCCTCGGCGGCTCATCGAGCCTGGTATACGCCTCCTGGATAGCTCTCACTTCGATCCCGTCCATTTCCAGCGCCACCAACCAATCTCTCAACTGGATATTCTTTCCTTGCTCACTACTCTCTCTCCACATGCCCAGTCGGTTCTTCTGGTTCTCCGACGTCAACTGCTGCGGTTTGTTATCCGCCGCCATCCCTGCTGCTCCGCCTTTACCTGCGGGAGTGGAAAGGCCATCGCCGCCTAGAGAAGTGCGAGGGGTGCTAGCGCCTGAACCACCGCCGCCACCAGCGCCGCCGCCACCTCCTGCGCCGGCGTTCATCCATGAGTAGGATTTACCTTTTTTGCGACCGAAGCCGCCCATGATGGCGTTGAGCGTCTGGTTGGCTGAGGCGGTGGACGAGGTCTCGGCGAGTTTGGCGGCTGCGGCGCCCCGCTTGAGTTCCTTCTTCGAGGGGAGCTTGCCGTCGGCGTCGGCGGTGGTGGGAGTGCCGGGGGCGACGGAGCCAGCTCGAGAGCCGGTGCCGCCTGTGGCGGTGTCGGGGTTTTGACGCTTTTGGCGCTTGCGGAGACGGGCTTCTTCGAGGTTGCGGTCGGCGCGAGCGGTGTCGCGCAGGGCGGTGGTGAGGTTGTGTTTGGTAAGGTTGGGGTCATTGAGTTTGGCGGCGTCGTAGGAGCCTGGAACACGGGTTAGGGATGTGTTTGAAATTATGGGGAGAGACAAGGGAGTACACATACGTTTCAGGGGGTTGGGCTGAGGACCGACGCCAGCAGCGGCGGCTTCCATGCCTTCTTGAAGGGCATCGTTAAGCCCCGTTTTCAAAGGCACGGCCACATCAGCCCACTCCGCAGGAATTTCTCCACGAGAAGTCGTCTGGCGGTTAATGGCAATGGTGTGCGCAGACTCGATGATCTGCCGGATGCGGTACTTTGTTGCAATCGACAGCAGAGCGATTTGGTCACTCAGATATGAATCAACCGGGATCCACGAGCTGGTGACGGTAACAAGAGCACCGCCTTCGCCCGTCTTTGTGCTCACCGTGACTTTGGGTTGCGTTTGCGCAGGGTCGTTGGCTGGTTTGCTCTTGTTGACTGCACTACCGCCCTTGAGCTCGCTGTTGAGCTCCAGTCCGTACTCCTTGGCAATCTTTTGAGCCTTCCAATGCAGCGGGGCTACCTCCAAGAAAGGCGTTCTCATCTCGTTTGCTCGCGTCAGTGCCAACCGATGGGCTGCTTCATCCCAAGCTTTCTTTGCCAACTCCTTCTCAAACTCCTCCTGGCTTTTGCCGTCCAGAGGTTGCGAGGCCTGATTGGCCCACCCGGCACCGTAAAAAGAAGCCTTATTTCCCGGTGGGTTCGCGGGCAGACCAGTCCTCGCATCCTGAGAAAACGATCCGGCATAGTAGTCGGCCAACGCCTGCTCTTCAGCACGTAAATCGACACCCGTACCAGCCAAAGAGTCCGTGACGTCATATTCAGTTTCCTTCACCGGTCGCTCAACAGGCTTCTGAGGGGGACCCATAGCGCCACCGGCGGCGGGGGTTGTCGGAGCTGGTGGTGGTGGGCCGATAGGTGCCATGGTAGCGGTCGTATATTGCTGGTTCTGTGCATTCTGAGCGGCCTGGGCTCCCATGGCATGGACTGGCTGAGGAGTTGAGGGCCCATGGGCCGACAAGTTAGGCGGAGCTAGTGATGGCGTTGCCAACCCAGGTGTCACTGGGCCAGGTGTTGTTGACGCGGGTTGGACTGGAGGCATGGATAGCCTACTCTCGGGCATCTGCAAGCCCGCGCCGTGTGAAAGAGTGGGACCTGGTCCGGGAGTTGTGGCCTGGGTCGGACCCGGGGAAGGCACAGCCAAGGGCGTGGATGGCTGAGAAACGGTTCCGTTGGTGAAAGACTGGTTATATTGCTGCAGACCTGGCGATTGTATCGTCGCAAACTTGGGACTAGCTGCTGGCGGCGTCGGGGCCGCGGCCGACTGAGGAGTAGTGGCGTAGTTCTGGGGAAGGTAAGGCGAGCCCGGCTGAGAGGCAGGACTTGGGCCGGTCTGTGGACGCTGCTGGTTCGGCGGTATCGAGAACTGCGCTTGCGTGGTGGGCGCCGGGGAGGGTGTGTGCTGGGGACGAGCAAACTGCGGTTGCTGGTGGACTGGCGGGCTAGGATGTTGGATCTGAGGTTGCTGCAACTGGGCCTGGGGATGCTGGAGTTGTGGATGATGTTGCTGCTGCGGGACATGCTGCTGCTGAGGATGTTGGGGGTGTTGTGGTTGTTGTTGAGCGTGTTGCTGGTGAGTTTGGGCTTGCTGGTGCCCTTGCTGATGGACCTGTTGCTGTACACGTGGCTGCGGCTGCTGTTGCTGTTGCTGTTGCGGCGGCGGCGGTTGGGTCTGCTGTTGGGTATGTTGTTGCAACTGTTGGGGAAGTTGGCGAGGCTGAACATGCTGCTGAGGTTGTTGGGCGCGTTGCTGCTGCTGTTGCTGAGCAAGGGCTTGGGCGTGTTGTTGAGCGAGCATCTGGGCACGTTGTTGCTGTTGTTGCTGGAGCTGGAACTGTTGCAACTGCGGCGACATTTGTGGTGGTTGCTGCTGTTGCAACTGAGGTTGTTGTTGTTGTTGTTGTTGTTGTTGCAACTGAGGCATCTGAGGCTGTTGCGGTGGTTGCGCCATGGTGGATGGCGCCCTTGAGGTGGACAGATGGCACAGGCGCAAACAATGGAAGTCGAGATGTACGAAGGGTCGATGGCGTGGGTCAAGGTCGTCGTGGGTGAAAAGCAGCTAGTCCTTGCCCTCCAGCTGACGGCGAGGCTGAGCTCCCAACTGATCGATTCCTCAAGTTCCCGTCACCGTAAACCCAAGTGGAAGCAGGCGAACCTGCGCTGCCACTCTAGCTACGCCGTGTCTCTCCTTCCATACGCCGGTCGCTCGTATCGATCGGTGTCCGGATCGTCGGTCGATGTATTTCTCGCTCGATGGAGTATCGTCGTGGTCGACAATTATTAACTGTCGTTTTGATTCGCGGGAGTAATGGCGACAACGGTGGGAGGTTATGAATCGGATTGTTGGGTGAAGCACTGGAGGAGTGGTCGAGGTGGTCGGAGAAAGAATGACGAACAATCAAATCGAAAGAGGGCGGGACTCGCACACACCCGCGTCCAGACCAGTTGCTGCCCGCCGCTGCAGGTTGCTTGTTGCTAGCGGCGGCATGAGCTCCACTGAAGGGGTCGCGTCTGGTGAGTGAACTACTTAGCCAGTCACGTGTAAGCTTGGCGCTAAATAATGGTGATGGGGCATCTGGCCGTTGACGTTGTGCGGCTGGCTTGGCTTGGGATTAAAGATGGGGCTTCCGGCAGGCAAATCAGCCGCCAGGCAACTTCAACCTCGCTTCATTCAACAAGCACTTGCCATCTTCATCCAACATCCATCAACGAAACCACATCCAGGGCGCCATCCATATTCACGGCGCGTACTAATCCGTAACATCTCGTCTTTCTTCTCACGTTGACTGATCCACGCCACCTCTCAACTGCCGTGCGTATTTCGCGTCTCAACTCGCATCGAAACCGCCACACTTTGCCAATCAAACAATCACAGTCAGCAGCTTGAAAGGTTCCAAGTATACAGGCCGACGGTGGGAAAGCAAGCTTCTACCCGTGGAGCGAACGAACCAAAAGAATACCCAAGTCATGGCTTCCAAGCGGAAGGCCTCGGCAATGGCGACGGAGCCGGAGGAGCCGGTCGACCCAGCGGATGAGCTCATGTTCCTCAACCTCGGCGGAGGCAACGAAGTCGGCCGATCATGTCACATCATCCAGTACAAGGGCAAAACCGTTATGGTGCGCAAAATCAACCAAAATCAACCACTCCTCCCAATGAACATGGGCTGACCTCTTCGTGGGTTGTTGTAGCTTGATGCTGGTCAACACCCAGCATATGATGGCCTAGCAGCCCTTCCTTTCTTTGATGACTTCGATCTCAGCACAGTAGATGTCCTCTTGATCAGCCAGTAAGCCCACCCCCCTTCCCCCCTTTTTCGCCATGGCCTACAATTATATGTATGCCCGTCTATCCGCCAGAGACAGTGCCGCAGTGTTTGGCTTGGGACAAGATGGGTTGATGATCGAGCTGGGCTCTGGATATTCGACATCGCCAGTGACTGACACGTTGCTCTATGATCTCTGTGGTTCTTGTCCACTTTGCAACCTTGTACTGTCCATCATATACATGTATTCAGGAAATGAAAATACAAGATACTTTGTCGCCATTGCCCGCCCCTCGCCTCCCTTTTTCCCCTCCCATCTTGTCTGCCACTCGCGCTGCATGTTCTCTGTGAAGCACTGTCCTCGCCCATAGTCGCCTACCTGGCCCAGACCTTAGCCGAGACTGACTGCCCACTCTCTAGTTTTCATATCGACCATGCCGCCTCGTTACCATATGTCTTGGCCAAGACCAACTTCCGAGGCCGTGTCTTCATGACACATGCCACCAAGGCTATCTACAAATGGCTTATCCAGGACAGTGTCCGTGTTGGCAACACATCGTCGAACCCGCAATCGTCGCTCGTCTACACTGAGGAGGACCATCTCAAGACCTTTCCCATGATCGAGGCCATCGACTACAACACTACCCACACCATCTCCTCCATCCGCATCACACCGTACCCAGCCGGCCACGTCCTCGGCGCCGCCATGTTCCTGATTGAGATCGCCGGCCTCAAGATCTTCTTCACTGGCGACTATTCCCGTGAAGAGGACAGACATCTTATCTCTGCCAAAGTCCCCAAGGGCGTCAAGATCGACGTCCTCATTACCGAGTCCACCTACGGTATCGCCTCGCACATCCCCCGACCAGAACGTGAACAGGCGCTCATGAAGTCCATCACCGGCATCCTTAACAGAGGCGGCCGCGTCCTCATGCCCGTCTTCGCTCTTGGTCGAGCCCAGGAGCTCCTCCTCATCCTCGACGAGTACTGGGGCAAGCACGCCGAATACCAGAAATACCCCATCTACTACGCCTCCAACCTCGCGCGCAAGTGTATGCTTGTCTACCAGACCTATGTCGGCTCCATGAACGACAACATCAAGCGGCTGTTTCGCGAGCGTCTGGCCGAGTCCGAGTCCTCTGGCGACGGTGCCGGCAAGGGAGGACCGTGGGACTTTAGGTTCATCCGTTCCCTCAAGAGCCTCGACCGCTTCGAGGACGTCGGTGGCTGCGTCATGCTTGCCTCCCCTGGTATGCTCCAAAACGGCGTCAGTCGCGAGCTGCTGGAGCGATGGGCGCCGAGCGAGAAGAACGGCGTTATCATCACCGGTTACTCCGTCGAGGGCACCATGGCCAAGCAGCTCCTTCAAGAGCCGGAGCAGATTCAAGCCGTCATGTCTCGCAACATTGCCGGTGCCCGCCGCGGCCCCGGTGGTGACGCCGAGAAGGTCATGATCCCCCGCCGCTGTACCGTCCAGGAGTTCTCCTTTGCCGCGCACGTCGACGGCGTCGAGAACAGGGAGTTCATTGAGGAAGTCGCCGCCCCCGTCGTCATCCTCGTCCACGGCGAGGTGCACAACATGATGCGCCTCAAGTCCAAGCTTCTTTCGCTCAACGCGACCAAGGAACATAAAGTCAAGGTGTTCAGCCCCAGAAACTGCGAGGAGCTTCGCATCCCTTTCAAGACGGACAAAGTCGCCAAGGTGGTGGGCAAGCTGGCGTCCATCCCCCCTTCTTTAAAGGAAGCCAAGACCGCGCATGACGGACCTCTTCCCTCCTCCACCGAACCTCAACTTATCACTGGTGTTTTGGTGCAAAACGACTTCAAGATGTCTCTGATGGCTCCCGAGGATCTCAGAGAGTATGCCGGTTTGACGACCACCACTATTGCGTGCAAGCAGCGTTTGAAGCTGAGTGCCGCTGGTATTGACCTCATCAAGTGGGGTCTCGAAGGAACCTTTGGTGCTGTCGAAGAACTCCCCGAAGTGAAGCCAAAGCTGGAAATCGTTAAGAGCGAGAACGGCGATACCAAGATGGAAGAAGCTGATGAGGAGTTGCCCCACGGTGACGACGTGGTAGCCGCTTACCTGGTCATGGGCTGCGTCACCGTCCGCTACCGCGCCAGCGGCGAGGTAGAACTGGAGTGGGAAGGCAACATGCTCAACGACGGCATTGCTGATGCCGTAATGGCCGTGTTGCTTGGTATTGAGAGTAGTCCCGCCGCAGTGAAGCGTACGTCCTTTTCCCCCTTTCTTCTTACTCATCCCCTTCCCCCTTTCTTCCTCCATTTTGATGCCCCGTACTAACTCCAATCCAGGCTCGGCCACCAAAAACCCCCACTCCCACTCCCCTCTCCCCGCGGAGCAAAACCCTCACTCACACCTCACCCCCGAAGACCGTTTCTTCCGCCTATGCATGTTCCTCGAAGCCCAATTCGGCCAAGACAACGTCTCCCCCATCGTCGAGCCCAAGCTTCCTCCCTTGTCACCCACCACGAAGGCTATTACCTCCCCCTCGGAGGAGACCGCCAAATCCTCCGACGCCAAGTCTGACGCAGACGCCGACGCCTCCATGGACGTCTCCGAAGAAGACGAAGAAGAACAACAACTCAAGGCACGGGAACGCGCGGAGGTGGAAAGACTAGAAAGAATGGGTATTCCTAAACCCGGGGTGCGCATCAAGGTGGATAAGATGGAGGCCAAAGTCTGGTTGGAGGATTTGGAGGTGGAGTGTGCGAACAAGATCTTTAGAGAGCGGGTGAGAGCGGTAGTGGAGCGGGCGGTGGAGGTTGTGGCGCCGCTTTGGGGGTGAGATTGGTTTGAGAAGTTTGGGTTTGGGTCTTTAAGGGGGGTGGTGGGAGAGTGAGAGGGGTGATGGGAGAGAAGGAAGGGAGGGGGATGGGGGGTGTGAGATGGGAACTAAAATGAGAGGGAAAAAAAACGGACAAAGAAGGCAGGGTGTGGTTTCTCACTGGGCAGAATGAAAGGTGGACATCTTGGAGGAGGAAAGGTATGATAGAATGAAAGGATTTCTTTTTGGGCGGGTGGATGAGAGGGAAGAACTTGCAAGAGGGCATCAACGAACAACGAAATAATAGGTAACCGTTTTGTTGCCCTTGAGTCCGAAGTCTTTGATGGATTGTATCTGTTACCAGTCTATTTACTCTTTCTTGGCTACCTACTTCTACTTTCATTCATTTTAAACAAATTTGACATGGTTCAAGTTCAGGTGGTGCGAAAGGTAGTTGACTGCATCAATTGTTAGAGGTATGTAGAGGTATGTAAGTGACCGATGGGAGACACTCGTCCTTGACAAAATTGTTGAGACCTGTGACATTACACGCTGGGTATGTATACTCTTACCACGCATCCAAGCGTCCAGTCCTTATCACGCCTTTTGAACTCGATCTCTAGACAATTTCTGCTTTTTAAAAAAAAAATCCTAAAGGGGCTCTAGGTAGCCGATGTGTCTTCTAACTGTTGTAATCCCTATCACAATTTCACAACAGCCATTCTGAACTACAACGAGCAGTATTGGACTGGTTATATAGTCTACTTACTCAGTCTGGTTGATCGCCCGCAAAGCCAAAGAATCTTGATGAATTTGTTTGATTGTTTGTTACCTAGGTATGGACGAGACACACACTGAACAACTACGGTAGACCGTTTACTTTTGGTGCCGGTAACTGATGTTGTAAGTGGTAACATTTTCTTTTGGGTGGGTGGGTAGGTAGTTGGATAATAAGTTTCTATATCTGATGATCTGACACTCTGTACGGGCCATCAACCTTTTTAGTTAGGGGTGGTGTGACACCTCCAGTTTCTATTCTATTCTAGGTGCTTAGGTAAGTAACTACCTAGGTAACCGTGAAATCCCTGCCAATTGTCCGCAATTTTATGAAGAGATTTCACACACTCTTCACCGCGGGTCCTCCTCCTCCTCCTCCTCGTCCCCCCTTTTTTTTTTTTTTTTTTTCCTATTGTTACAAAAATTCACAACTAGATCTATGAACATGGCAGGTCAATAAATATATTACATGGGTTCTTTATGTGGCCTGTGTTTCTCGCCGGTCTTCCCCTTCGGCCATGTTCTTCTTCACCCCTTATTCACCTTGTTTTGTTTCCCCTTCTTAGCCCTCCTTAACCGGAAATACAGTCCCTCTTGGCATCTCCAAACATTCGAGCCACTTCTCCAGGCTCCGGAGGTGATCCCGTCTGCCTTCCGCTTCCTCCACCCTTTCGGCCGCGACATGTTCCCCGATGCTGCCGGGGGGGGGGGGGGGGGGGGGGGGGAAAACCAGATCCCCGACCTCTTGGTGTTGAGGAAGCCCAGGAACTGGTGGGTATCGGGGTGGCGGTTACGCCGGTGAGTGTGAACGGAGTCACGGTCGGGAGCGGTGACAGCAACGGGGACGAGACGGGGATCCAAGAATGAGAAGCCTCTGAGGATTAGACATAGGGTCAGCTTGGTAGAGCTCCAACGGAAAAGCTGAAGGGAGACATACTCAGGCATTTGAGTGTCTTTTGGAGCGTTCTTGTTGGTCATTTTGGCGGCTTTGAGCTTTTGCTATACAGAGTGATTGTATTCTATTTCTGGTGGAGTCATGCTGAACTGGGACTCTACCTACTCGAAATCCGAGAAGGGACCTATAGGTATCTTTATAGCCCCCATCGACCTCTCCTCACTTCCCATTGAGCTTTGCTCATGAATTTCAAGTTCAGTCGCCGATTATCCGACGGGAAGTTTTGATGCTGTTTGGGCATCCATATTTGAGGGTTGAGAGGTTTTCTCATTCTGTCGTCTCATACCCCTACCTATCTGTATGTCTCTTAAGAAATGGCTGGAATCCGAGCTTTGGAGTTTCCATAGAACTACCTAAGATTGGGCATTTCCTTCCCAATTCAACGAACCCCCCAGTCGAGTCTTTCCCGTGTTATCAAAGCCATTTCGTCTCAGTTTTCTCTACCCGCACTTTCCCCATACCTGAAGTCTCGTTTCGCCAGGCACAATCAGGAAGCAAACCCCTGAATGTTCCCCATTTCATCTCTCCTTGCTCTCTAGTATATTGCTTTGTCCTACAAGCAACACAGATTCCATAACCACCCAGGTATGAGAGAACGGAACCTCCGAACCTTCTTTCCATCACCCCATTTCCGTAGAGCTGTGGCTTTCTTCACGCACCTTTTTCGTTGTACATTGTTAGTCCTAACGTCTTGGACAACAGGCCTTCCCATCACATACGAGTGTTCCTCAGATTCCGGAGTGTTTCCACAACGGCTTTCCTCGACATCAGCCAAACAACGAAGGAATACACGATGACGACGTTAACCGAATTTCACCTCTTTCCCTACCTCCCGGAGGAGTTAAGGGTCATGATCTGGACCTTAGCCCTTCGACCACTTGATCGCCCAGGCGTTCACATCTTCGACGTCGTGAAGACAATCACACAACTGGACCGCGTGAATCATCGCCTTTCACGACTGATTGGGCCGGGGTACAGTGATCTGTACGGCGGTCTGTTTGTTCCTCCATCTTTGCTACCTCAACCAGCATGGACACCTCCAATGGATTGCAGTTGCAGTTGGGTATCTTCTTTATCTACTTACGTGGTTCCCGGGAATGTCAACCTCAAGGCCATCACGCCTCATTCGAATGCCTCATCATCGCGCGATCATTATCCAACAGGAGAAAAAAACCAGACGTCTGCTCAACACATCTTCTTGACGTCGGACTGTGGACCGCTTGCAAGGAGTCACGCAGGGTCATCCAAAAAGGCTTTTGGCTCCCGCAAATTGAACAAGCCCTTTACCACACAGCCTTGTATCGAGGCAACAACTCAACACGCCGCCATCCTTTCACCGTGTTCCAGGGACGAGACGAGACCTCTTCATCTATCGACCACTGCACAAGGTTCACCAAGGGTGTCTGGCTCCCCGGTGGTGGGAGCCAGCTACCATTTTCAAGCCCGTTTCCAGGTGGGGAAGAGTCCCTCTGCGGCGAACCGAACAGGCCCCGGGGATATTGCCAGCCCAACTACCGACAGCTGGATAAGCTGGGCCATTACCAAGACCACATGGCTATTGAGTGGGATCTATCCTGGGCTTTCGATCATGCTGCGTTCGAGGAACTCAAGAGGGGTCTGATGTCTACCTCGCTGCAACGGGGTCGTATCTGGTTTGTTGACTATGGGCTCAGGCAGAATTTTGCCCTCGGCGATCTTGACGTGGCGTGGATGGAAAGGGAGGGGACGAAGAAGGCATTTGAGGACGCGCAGGGAGGCCGCTATGTGGAGGTGTATTTCAGCAAGATCCATCTCGATCTGCATCATACGGGCGAGAGAGTAAGCAGTGAGATTCTTGATGGTACAGGGTTCTTGGTGTCCACGGAAAGGAGTCTGCTGATGTTGAAGCCGTTACTTCGGAGACGCCTGCCGGATTTGTTGGGAAGGACATTACGGTTATCTGGAGAGAGCAGTGGTGGAAAGAACTGGGCGCAGTGGGGGATCCTCGCGTACCTGCCTCCGGGGTTTGAGGGGGGCAAACGACGGCCGAGGGCATCACCCAGAACAAGAACGCAAGAAACTGTAAAAGAGAGGATGGAGCGCCTTGGGCCGCGGTTCTGGTTGCTGGGTTGATTAGCTGAATGAAGCGATCATGGCGAGCGGGAGCAGGAAGCAGTGGCCGTGTTGAAATGATAGACTTCCCCATCTGCTTATGTCATCCGTTTATCTGGGTTCTTGCACTAACAGCTGGCTACCCTGTTTCTTCATGTTTCAGATAGTGCTCTATCTTAGTGCGTCATTTGCTCAAATTCAAGGCCGTCAGTCACCTCACCTGGGCAGTCGTGTGTTCCACGAGATCTTTCGAAAGAGTGATAGAACAAATCCGAGATTTTAGAAGCAAATCTTTCATGAACTCCATTTGGTGTATTACGTTGTCTTCATCTCATCATTGAGTGATCGATGTTGGACCTTTTTGACGTGGAGTAAAATGCATTGTCTCTGTAAACAGATGTGTCTTGATGTAGCTGACGGTGCTGCTACCAGGTCGGCCGGATGGGAAATGAGTGCCAACTTGTATAATTCCCATTACGTCGGTGTCTGGTCGGCCACAATGCTGTACTTTGCTTGACTTAAGGGAGGGCAAGATTCAGATAAGTGCCGTGTGTATCATAATGGCGGAAGATTGAGGGGGGCGTTATCCAAGTGTCACCAATTGGCTGCAACCTAGAGACATGTGAAAATGACAATAACAAAGAAGATAGCGGTTCCTCCATCAAATTTGACTACACTACCAAATCATACACTGTCGAGGCCTCTGTCACCTCCCAGAAAAAAAAAAAAAAAAAAGAAAAAAAAAAAAATGCCACAAACAAAAAGTCCATCAACCGTGTGTCCAATCAAAACTACCACCCACCGAAGATCTCCTTCTCCCTCTCTACATGTGGCCGAGCCATCTGAACTCGCTTCCTCCTCTTCTCCACTGCTCAATCACCTCCACCTACGTGCACCCCAAAACGCATCTGGCTCATTCTCCCTCACCAGTATCTACCACCTCGATAGTAATAGATCCAAGCGGGCCCTTGTTCAAACTCGCCCCAGTGGCTTCAACCACATAGTTATCATCAACTTCGGATACCTCAAAGGAATTCGATCTACGAGACCACGGACAATCCCAGTAGACATGGCACACCTTGGTGTCGTCATGGTAGATGTCGAAGTGGCCCTCGGTGCCGGTAGGCGTCCAGGCTCTACCGGATGAGGCCACGACCATCGATCCGCCGTTTGGGCTGGCGGATTTGGCTTCCACTTGGTCGTGGGAAAGCTGTTCGCCTGCGTCGGGGTATTCGAACCACTTGCCCCTGCAAAAGTAAGTAAAGAAGGAGCGTTAGTGATGGTCCACATGTGTGATGTCAATTCTTTGATGGGAAGATGATGGCAGTTAGGGAAATAGGTACCTAGGAAGAGAAGGACTTACGAACTGAGATGGGCGTTTCTGATGAACAAGTCCCCTGAGGAAGCTTGGTTCAAAATCGTCATGTCGACCCCCAGATATTCGGCATTGGTGCTTCTTTGTCTGTTTATAGTAGGTCCGGGGCGGGAAGGAGGAGCTCCCGTAGGCGGAAGGGCGGGTTCATAGTCGACACGCAAGGGGGCGGCAAAAGTGCCGGCCACCAGAGCAATGAGGAGCAGGCCGAACGTCAAAAGACGGGTTGAAAAGCCCGTTTGGAGTGTTGCCATCTTGAGGTTGTGATTGGGTGAACGATGATGGTTGGTAGTTTATGGCTGTGTTGATAGTTTGTCTGGAGTATCAGAATTTCGATGGTGAATGTGATGAATCAGAGATCTTAGATAGTGGGACTTGTGATATCTGAAATAGTTATTACCGATGAGAAAGAAAATAAAACTCTTACCATGAAACTCGGACATCCGGAAACGAAGGCTTCCCATAATGCCCTTCTTGGGCGCAGATATGCCGGTGTTTATAACGTAGAGCCAAGTGCATATGGTAGGTAGGCATCATGCAGAATCGCCTTGTTAGTGAAATGCTCCAAAACATTACCCATCACTGTAACTCCGTGCATTTAAATGCACAAAATCGGACATGTAGTGCTCGGATTGCCGTCCATTCGTTTTCCTGTGTTTCCGCGAAGAGTCAAGGTGCGTAACTGCTTTCTGGTTGTTGCTCTCCTTCATGTCGGACTCCCTTATGGCTTGTCACCCACTTGGTCCAAGGGATGCCCAAAGTTAAAGCTGACAGGAAGCTGTGTCTTGACCACTCAAAGGAATCCTGCGCAATAGAACACCATGCATTTCATCGTTTTGACGACCCTGAGCCACCCCAGAGCAAGACTCGGTTGCCTTTTGTCTCATTTCCCTGCTTTGTTCACCATCCTGCAATTCCCCCGCCCCGGCGAATCTAGGAAGTTGTGCCATCGTCAATTATCTGTTACAGCTGATTTCATTCCCAGCGAGGATCAAGAAGAGGGGCAGGTCCAATGTTCCCTCCCCAAGTGAACAGCAGTTCTCCAGGGTCATTGTCAACCCGTTTAACCCGGATACACCTGGTAGCCCTCTGCCTCAAACCGGGCGGATGTCTACTCCTACAGAAGCATCCTCCTTCAGCAACCTCTGCATGCTCATGCCCATGGTAGAGTAGACCGTACAAGCAATACTCAAAGCCGATCTTACCCTCTTTTTGAAAGAAGTACCAGCATTGGATCCTACCGCCGTCGGCGCTGGCATGGAATGGAATCAGTGCTGTGAGAATCCATTCAGGCCCGACTCGTTCGTAATCAAAGGCATCTTCAGCCATGTCAATAATATCCATCACGGCCTTGTCAAGAGCGGATGACATTCGCCTCCGCTTCGTCCACGAGTCATAGTCATCAGGGTTGTCTTCATCCACATCACTCTCCTCATCTTCCTTCACGCGCTTCTCTCCAGCATCACCATCATCGTCACTCTCATCAAGACCAGCCGTGGACCTGCTTCGCTTGCGACCGTTCTCATCCACCACCTCAGCAACCATTTCCATCATCTTTTCCTTCGCATTCTCCAACGCAGTCCCCACAGTGCGGCTGAGCTGGACCACCTCCGCATGGATCAAGACCTTCTCCTCCTCGACAAGCTGCAGGATCGTTGACTGGGTATCGCGAATCTGATCAGCCAGTTTGCTCTCGGCGTCGCTCAGCGCTTTCTCGATGTTGGGTAACTTTGGACCGCTCTCTGTGCGTTTGGCGCAGGTTGGGGTGCTCTGTTGGCTTTGGACTTGGCTCTTCTTGAGCTCCGCTACGTCGGCTTTGACGGCTTTGATGTCCGAGGCGAGAGAGTGGAGGAGTAGCTTGATTTCCGCGAGCTCGGAATTGGAGGCCATTTTGGGTGGCATTGTTTGACGGTTGTTACGGGTCTGGTGAGGGGTCGAGGTGAGACCGTGGGGTGTGTTGGCTGCTACGGCGCGGGTGGTTGAAGTTGGCCGAAAATCTGTTGTTTGACTTCCGGGTTTTGGGCGTGAAGGAAAATGACGAAAAAAAAAACACTCCCTCTCGAAATAAAGAAGTGGTCGAAATCAAGAAGTGGTGTCGCAATTAAGAATGAGTAGGTTTAATTGAGGAAGAAAAGTCAGATGGAGGAAGAAGGGTGCCGCTGCGGGAGGCCGTTTTGCCCCACAACAGGAGCTAAGAACGCATCACATGCAGCATCTGCTGTAGGGAGCAAAGCGCAAAAAGAAGGAAAAAAAAAAAAAAAAACAATGCAGCATAACGATATCCTGAAAATCTGGGAATTAAATATGCTCTTTGGAAGTATAGCAACAACCAAAAGAGGTTATGTCAAGGATGGGGGAGGGAGAAGCTTGAAAAAAAGAAACTCCGAAAAAACATACAACACCAGGGATTCGCTGGTCGTCACCGACCCAACTACTAGTCTGGCCCTCACTGGCTTATCTATGGGAGAGCGGACGGGATCCCGAGTTTTCCAGTGGGTATGGTCGTATGTATTTGACTTTGCCTGACGAATGCCTCAAGTACTATCAAACTAACCAGTGCGATGTGAGAGACTTATTGATGGCCCTTCCCCTGGTCAAGGTCTCAAGGACACTCCTCCTTATCCCAATCAGATTGTCGTGAAATAAGCCTAAAGCATGATGGCTGACGCCGGGATCGCCGTACTCCTGTCAATAATCTCTTGTTCGTCAAGTAAATGGCTCTCTCTTGGAGTGATCCAGGCAACTCTTAGGCTCTAATCAGACAGGGGCAGATAGGAATGGCTAAAAGGGAAGTTATGATACTTTGTACTGCATACGGTGACCTGGATGCGTAAAATAAGGGGGAGAAACCTTTCCTGAAATCATCTTGAGATATCAAGTGAAGGTGAAACAGCATGATAGTCGCGAAGGAGCCTAAAGCATGGAGACCGAAAAGGAAACAAACGTCAAGAAAAAAGAAGACAAGAAATGAAGAGAATAGAAAAGGGGATAGAAAAGGGAATACGACCAAAGGCAAAACGATACACCAATCCATCTCCAAACCCGCGAACCGTAGACTATCAACTGGCTGTTCACCATCTCAACTCCCGATCTCTCAACCACCTCCTTCTTCTCGTCTTTTCGTCCACGCTACTGCCACCCCACACACTCTTTAGCTCGGCATACCACATTGTGACCACAGACCCAGCTTTGCTTCAGCGCGTCAGACGATGTGTGAACGCTCCGTCTGACAGCGCTATACCGTATCGAGGATCGATTATTCTGTTCGCGCAATCTTCCGGCTTGGTTGCTCCATGGACGTGCTACCACTCGTGGTGACCGAATCTCTGGTGTCCGCCCTTTTTCGCTTCGTACCCTCCAGTTCCAACGTCTCCGATATGACTCGGATTTCCATATTCTCTGGCTCATCCATTATTCGATTTCCCTGTCCCTGCTCCGTTTGGAACCACGTTGACAATTCCATGGATTGCTCTTCAATTGTCGGTGTGGCGGATGGTAGTAGGGCTTCCTCATCACCTTGTGCATGACCTTCACGACATGATATCCCGAAACCGATTTGTTCTGGTTGCCTGCCATGTTCCGTTGGTATGTCGTCGTGGTTCAGCAGCGGCTTGCTGAATCCCCCAGCATTCCCCTGATCATGTCGCTCGTCATATTGACTGGCCAAGTTCATAAGTTCATAATCGCGAGCCAAATCATGGATGGTCATGTTTGTCACCATCGCCGTGGGATCAACTTTTGTTAATGTACTCTCGACTTGCAACTCTTCCGAACAATGCTCAAGTAAATGGTCCCCTTCTCTGCGCACTTGGCTTCCGTTGAGGGAATGTCTGCTGCCGGCATTCAGTTTGATGGATGAATTATCTTCATCTGAGTCAGATGTAGCCCGGCCCTGAATTTCGGCGAGTTGGCCCAGATAATCAAAATACTCTTCATGGCCATCCTTGTTTTGTGCTCTCATGACTCTCAATAGCTGTCTCAAGAAGCTGCACCTCTTGTCCACCCGGTGCCTGAATTTTCTCTGCATAAGATTGATGGCCTGCTTCAGTATGTCTTCTGCTTCTCCGTACTTTTTCAGTGATTCAAGACTCCTCGCGAGGTTCTTGCAGATACGCAGTGTATTAGGGTGCTCCAGTGTGCTTTGCAAAGCTTGGTTTCGGCTCATCTCAACGCATTCATTAACAACCGGTCCGTTCTCTCCAGCATACCGACTTCGTTACTGTACGTTCCCGAATTCCCTAGAAGCTCGACCAATCTGACTGTGTAATTTTCCTCAAGGTTATTAAGCCCCTCTGATTCTACCAGGCAATCAACATGACTGGACAGGTCGCGGTATCATGACCAATCTTCAAGATTGTCTGCAGAAAGTTCAAGATGCTCATTATATAGGAGGTGAATGAAGATGCCTAGCCATTTCCCATCAGAGTCCTTTGACCTAACCCAGTGGCGAGTACAGGTATGTACTAAAGCGTGCATCTGAAGTGAGCGGGAGCTTCGCCGTCCTTGCCCACTGTCCAGGTTGTCAGTCACGGGCACCACCGTGACTAGCGAACAACTGCACAACGTCGCTACGTCTTCTGCAAGCGGATCCAAACAATCGTGAGGTAGCTTGGTATGTTGATGATAGGTCTCGAAACTCTTATAGTACCTTTCAAGTACCCATTCCGGAATTCCCCGGTGATAGAAGAAACTTAGCAACGATAACGGGTCGGAGGCCGAAGGTCTTTCATTTCGAATATGTTCGTACGTAATTATCCACGTCGTGAACACAGGGCGTGAAGCTTCATCTTCGGGGAGGTGGTTGAGAAGAAAGGGCCTGGTTGTTCTCGCTCTCGCGGAACTGGTCCAGGTACACGCGAACGGACGCCCTTCCCGTTGGTGCAAGATGATTGATATAGGCCGCTGCCTGAGTAATAGCGAGGGGAATGCAGTCGAGAGCGTGAACCAGGTTCTCTTCCCCGTATTCATCTTCCACAGTAGCTAGTTTATGGCGTAACAGCTGCCTCGCCTGGTCTTTGATCATTGGTTCAACTTGCCGAAAATGCAACCCCACCCCGAGACGCCTGACGACTTTCTCGCATCGTGATGTGATCAGAATATTCCCATGTTGGCATCGGCGGAGAAAGTCGAGTGGCTTTAATGCTGTCAAAGAAGCGGCCTCACTACCCGAGTCTCTGCGTTCGCCTGGTACTGGGTCGAAAACGTTGATGTCATCGGCGTTGTCGAGAATCATCAACCATTGTCGGTTGTCAGAACGTAGCCAGTTGAGAACTAGCCTTAGGACATCAGCTTTGACATTATCCCAGCCATCCAAGCTCAGTTCTTGTGCGATGCCGCGAAACGATTTGATGAACAGTGCTTGGGTGCCGGCGTGTACCCAGAGAATGTACCTATGTTTGGGGACAGGATTTCTGGGTATTACGCGCGTATCGGATGACGAGTCGTGACTTTCTGGTTACCACCGAATTAGCTCCTGTTCTTCTCACAAAGGAGTTAGCTAGAATGCAACTTGGGATCATAACATCACTTACCCTACGCCCCCGAGACCAACAAGTGCAGCACGGCTCCCCTTGTTGTTTAACTCGGTTTGCAGCCATGACATGATCTCATCCCGTTCAACGAAGTCATCGTCAGGCTGAAATGGAGCATTAAGAAAGGGTGCGGGAGTTGGAATTGTTCGGTGTTCATTTGCATGCCTGGAAATCTTTCCAGCTCCTTGGTAGCGGTCCAGAAATGCCTTCGCCACCGACGCAGCGGTGGCCGCAGCATAATCCTGCCATCCTTTATTCTTGTGGCTGTCGGCATAATCACACACGCCTTTGATGACGAGGCAAGGTAACACATCCCATATTCCTGCACCTTCCATCTCTAAGGCGATGATGCCCTTTTCGGCATAAGTATCGCGGTGTTTGGCAGAGCGAACAACAGCATCTGCTGACCCCACGCGGGCCTATGAAGACCATGGGTTGATCGGGTTGACCGCATCTCTCTCTTTGAACCAAATGTCTGGCGTCACAACCAAGATCGTCACACGAAATTTCCCATGATGACTCGCATATTGATCCTTGCGGGCAAATAAGACAGCCTGACGCAGAGCCATGATGTTTGTGCTCGTATGAAGCTTCGAATAGCCTGTCTTTCCCGCTTCCTGGATATATATGTCTAGAGAGGCGGCCGTTGCGATCCTGAAGCTTCAGCAAATTGTCGGCTACCTGGTTCTGGAATATATTGCGGGCTCTCGTTTTCTCCAAGCTCCTGAGCAGGCCCCGAAGATCCCGGCTCGACCTGGCGAACGTATGCTCGACTTCAGTTTTGCTAAGAAAATGATGAGGTAGCTGCCTGCCAAAGTCGTTATTGATTAAGGATGCTGCTGATGACCACATCACCAAGAACTATCTCCTCATGTTCCCCTCCTACGTTGGTGGAAGGCATACCGCCACAAACACCAACCACGAGAACTAGGGAGATATTCTGGTAACTTGTAGCGACACCGTGTGCTGCCGCGGTTGCCTCAATTTTTCCCATGCTGGGCAGGACAACGAGGACTACGTTGAACTTTCCAATCCGCGCTAGCTCGTATGTGTTCGGGTCTCCCGGAGCCCTGCCCTATTGACTTTGATCGTCCCCATTCGTCCAGAATTCATCGACGAGCAACTCTACGGCGTCCATTTCGCGGGTAAGTGCGCAGATTATCGCAATCTCGAACTCGTCCCGGCTTGTAGGACGGGAGTAGGCCCGCTCATTGCCCGTTCCCGCTGGTGCAGCCATCGTGCTGGGCCCGTTGACGGGGAACGATTCTTGTCGACTAACAGGCGTTTGCATCAATGACGGCGGTCGGGATGGGAATAATTCGATTGACGGGCGAAGGTGAGATGTCTGACAAAGAGGAGTGTACCGAAACACGCAGCAACAAGTCCAGGAGTAGTGTGAGAGAGGAGCATCTTGGCAGAGCATCCGCCTCAACAGAAAGAACAGGAAATGCGTCAAACGCGGGGCGGGAGACATTGAGGGGACACCTCTCCTCAGCCTCACTGTGCAGGGAGCTGCAGCCTATTGCATTTGGTGGACATGGCGGCGGAGGAAACACCACGAACAACGCCAACAGTATCACTGGGTTGTTCTGAGTGGACATAAAGGTAAGCCATGAATATAACCGTGGAGATATTGGTGCCATTTTCTCCTATCGTCATCACAGACCGCTTGGTGGTGAAAGTGGTGGGCATGCCGATTACGGCGGTACATGTAGACGCGACCGGGACTGGGACGGCGGGATCTGGATCGATAGGTCACGGTGTTCGGATTCAGTGGGGTCGGGGTCGCAGGGACCGGGGGACGGAACTAGGGCCGGTTCCGTGAATAAGGTCGGAGTCAGATGGCTCGGAGGGCTTGACTTTCTAGAGGTATGTTTCGAAGCCCACGAGGGAGTTACTAGCTGGCAAGAGGTTAGGGTCCGGAATTGAGAAGCATCCATCTGGGAATATAGGATCGCAGTGGCAGAAACACCTGAGAGGATTGGTGTTGAATTGTAAGTATAAACACGAGAAGGGCCGGAAGTTGTGGTTAAAACCAATCCATGGGAGATATTGAGAGTTGGATGTTTTGGTGGAAGACGGCAAGAGAAAGAGGTGCCCCTGGGGGACAACCCATAAAAAAAACAAATGTCAAATTCGGAGTCGGATAGAAACAGAAGGGCGAGTCATCTATCGGTGCCAGCTACGCAATACAGCAGTTAATGGGGTGGCTGTCAACGAAGGACACAAGCATGAAAAGGGCGGCCATCCAAACAATCACATCGAGCACATCATCGCGACACGAGCTTGTTGTACTACCTCTATATCCACTTATTGGTGATTTTTGACGCCTGATCTTCTTTTTCTGCCTCCGTTCCGTTAACTTACACGTAAGCAAGTCCAACCATCACGTGCACCTCCATTTCCAAGCCAGACAGAAAATGCAGATTTTCTATTAGGCAACTCGCCACGAGTGCCCATCTATTTTTGCATGCCGTTAGCAGGCCGATACCGATTCCAAAATGTACATAAAGTAACCCAAGGAAACAAAAGACGAGGCAGCACGATACTCGCGCGGACTCAAAGCATCCCCCAAGACCAGACCGATGCGAATAAGGCAGATGTTCCCTCGAACCCCAACGAGCATGACTTCACCTCATCCGAGCTTCCACCAAGATCTCTAAAGAACAAAAGTCGGACACTCAAAGACACGGTAAAAAGTCCAATCTGGCGGGTGCTCCGGGCCCATTCCAAGAACCTCATACGGCTCAGGATGCATATATTTCCAAGCCAGCGCATTATCGCAGTAAATCCAGCCCATCATCGCCCGATCGTAGTAATACCACGTCTGCGAAGGGTTGTGAACACACAAATGGGGTGAGGGATAGAAGTAACTGATCTGGTCCAGATAGGGATTGTAGTAAGACCAAATCGGAAAGGGATCGTAGTAGCTCCAACCCGCCTGAACGTAATGGTCAACCCACCAGGCTGGTGAGGGGTGGTGGTAAGTCCAGCCAGGCATTTTGTGGTGATATGCAATCTTTTCCGCTTGCTGCTGCCATGGAGGTGGTATCATGCTATCCTCCTCTTGTCCGGCGTATGCTTCTTCGTTGGAGGGGTCCGCCTCGCCCCCCGAGTCGGCAGGCAACTCCGTAATGGTGATGACCTCTGTCGTGTCATCCTTCGTGCTAGTCGTTACCATTACGGACATGAAATCGCCGCGACTCGTCGGCTCAGCGGCGTCAGAAGCCAATGCCATCACGGCATGAAGCGTAAGTTCATGTGTCTCGCAAGACTCTTCCTGGATTGCGTGCCCGTGTCCTGGGCTGTTTATGATGATGTCGGAAGATTCGGAGTCGGAACCAGATCCGTGAGAGGACGAATGGTCTGCTGCCTCTTCACAGTCCTCGTCCTCCTCGTCATCCCCGAAATTCTCTTCCTCTTTTTTTGCTTCCTTCTCTGCCCCCTTCAACTTCTTCCGCTCCTCTCCCTTTTTTTGCCTTTTTAGCCTCTCCTCGAGCTCAATTGTAGACTGGACAAAAAGTCTCCAGTTTTGCGTTACCTGAAGGCGTACAGGATCAGGTACCGTTGCAGAATTGGGCTTGGAGTGGACCGTGTGCCCGTGACCTAGGCCCGGGCTCTTTGTGTCGCTGCCAGGAGATTTCTTGATGTCGGATATGGATCCGTTTGGAGGCAGCGACGTCGCAGTATGCCTATTGTCTTTAGCGTCGGAGCGTCCCATGTTGACGTGATCAAGATGTGTGTGGACAAAATGGGTGGCGTTGTTGGTTTGCAAGTTGCAGAATGTGAGAGAGTAAAGATTGATGGGTCGATGAGAAAGAGGGGAAGGAGAGAGAACGTGGTGGGGGGGAAAGGGTTTATGTAGTCTACCTAGGGATGGGATGCTAATGCACAGGCATGTATTTTCTTGACTTGGCCAGTTGGGGTTCCGGACGGACCGTTACGGACGCAGGAGAATATAACAAATATAATAAATGCATGCCTGTCCTCGGCAATGCAGGTTTCTTGTGTCCTGGTGTTTTGCAGCTTTGGTTGGTGTGGACCGGAGGCTGCATAATTCTGGGGGCGTGAAATCCGCACAAAGTGCCGCTCCGAGCCGAGACGCACAAGTCCAGGAAAAGTCATCCAGAACTGAATTCACGGACTTGTAGTTTTCGAGATAAGTTTCTTCCCTCTGTGTTTTGGAACCACGAGTTCTCTTCATGGCGGGATCATGCGCTCCTGCAATGGGAAGTTTAGTCCTCACACTCAAAGAGAGGGAGAGTGGGAACGTGGTAGGAAGGAGCAATCCAAATTCCAGACAGGTCGAGCTCAGATCAATTCGCTGTTCTAGTAATCTCAAGATTGTCTCGTTCTCATCTGATCCAGACAATCCGTCCACCCTTGCTGCAATCTGATTCCATCGATCCATCCATCCTTTCTCCTCTCTTCCTTCCTGTCTCGAGGTATCAGCCCTTCTTTACCGGATATGCGGATACCAAGTGCGCTTCCGCAGCCATGTCATCCGCCTACTCCCATTTCGTCAAATCAGGACACCGTCCAAGAACATTTCCCCAATTTTCCATCCTTTTTCCCATCTCTCTTCATCCGGATGCACCTCGTGCTTCGGTTAATCGGAACATGATTCAGTCGGTTCAAGTCCGGTCTACAATAACATACTCCGACAGCTACACCGGGATCAGACGGATCATGATCACCGTGTCCCCAGTAAAGAACCCCGTACAAGCAATATCTGAAGTCGAGCACCCCGTGCCGTTGAAAGTTCTCCCATCTGTCCAACATATGATGGTCATCGCGTGAGTTGTACAGTCTTACGAGCGCTGCGAAAACAAAACTCGGCTGGGAGTTCGATACTGCTGACGCAATCGTACAGCCCGCTAATTGCGTCCATCATCACTCTTCGACCGGTTCTGTCTGCAAGTTTTCCAGCTCCATTCCCTCCAGTCCAATTTCATCGAGCTCGGCTACCTCCATATCGTCATGGGCGGCAGCGAGGGGGCTAGAGTCCAGATTGGAAGTCCCAATCTCCTGTTCTCTGTTCTCCTTCCACTCCTGTACCTCCTGATTGAGGACTCGGACCTTTTGCTGCACTGCCAAGACGTGCTGACTTGGCTCATAGAGTGAAGCTTGGATCGTTGATAAATTGGTGTTTCTGTTGTGGCGGGCCATGTTGGGCATCAATCTTGTATAATGGACTAGTGAGGTACGGAGGGAAGCAGGACCAAAGTGGAATGACGGCCTCCAATACAATGTCACCGCTAACTGTCGATGGAATACTGGAATGTGCATGATGTATGAAGTGAGAGTACGAGAAGGCTAGGTCATGCCTGCCTCTGCCTTTGGCAATAGAACACGGGAGAAAGAGGAATGAAGGATGGAATAATATAGGTGAATGGAAGAGAGTGGCGGTAGTGTTTGTTAAATGGGGCCCGATGTCTTCCGGTTCTTGCGATGCACGTTCCGACCTCACACACTGGTAAAGTAGGTAAATCAGAACAAAACTGTTCAAGCATATATATTTTTGCCAAATGATAGTAGATATACGTTAGCTTCATTATATCCTGAAGGGCATAAGGTTGTCATCTTCACGAGTGTCCTCGACGAGTTTTGCTACACCCTGGAGCTCAGTGTGCTACTACCTACCTTTACAGCAGGGGCAGTCCAGTCCAGTCCAGGCTTCCACTCAACGGTCCAGGTTCCACGGCTGCGTCTGAAGTCAGGACCCAACGGTATCACCGACTACCTCAACATCAATAAGTGCGGTCAACTCCAGTCCTTCATCGTCGAATATCATTCCCAAAGCTAATCTACAAGGTCGTTCTCGCAATTCTGTCAAGCTTCATTTCTTTTCGTTGAAAACAGAGATGAAGGTGAAGTTCGTCGACGCCAGCTTTCTTATCGAATTAAAAGCAATATGCGATGAAATTGTCAGATGTGGAAAATCCAGTTTCGAATCCGCGCTGTTGCTGGTCGTGAAACTTTTGGCGACGTTGTTTGCTGCGATGAATGGGGGTTTCGAGAAGACTTGAAAGAGAAGGAGGAGGATTTCGACGGATTGCGTGAAGCTTGGCGGGCGTAGCTCAAGCTCGAGGCGTGGGGGCTTGCAGCTAGCACTAACAGTCACTAACACTGCTGCAGCCTAATGAGGAAAGATACCGTTAGTGGGTCTTATCCGTGGTCCATCCTAACGAAGCTTAGCTCGCCATGACCTTTTGAGTTATCTTCGGGGTCCATTTCCCTTCCTTAGCTCTCCTGTTGGTCATTCTCTGCCCGATATTGCTTTTCTTCATTTTCGAGATGTTTTAGCGCCCTCAATATTTCCAAAACGATTGACAACCGACAGTTCCAAGAGTGTCTACACGGACCACCATTTTGATTCTACAGTGAACTCACCATGCTGGTCATCGGATATTGACCAGCCGAACAACCAACCACCATCTGCACACGCGACACACCCCCCTCACACCCATCCGTCGACTCGGGAAAGATGATGCCGACATCCAACAGCCCCATCACATCACACCTTCCCACGACCGGGTCTAGATGCCCTTCCCCTCATGTGAATGATGTGTGTTAACGTTAGTGGCGGCATACCTAGCTGCCGCTTAACGGACTTGCAAAACCTCTCATATCTTCTCTTATTATTGGCCCGTGTTTTCACCAAGGTTCGCCAGACCAAGTACCTCCATTTTCAAAACTCAAGTCTACCTCGGGCGATATCCACGATGCGAAAAGGACATCGCATCCACGCAACTTAGTCGACCCAAAAGGGCCTTTTCTAACGTCTTGCTTCATATTAGCTTACAGACGATGAAAGACGAGAGGTTGAAATTTCAAGGTTGACCTCTGGACTTTGTTACTGAAGAAGATGTGGAAGTGGGGTTTCTGCACGTCCGTTACGCGGCCTCTCCTACCTTGCATACCTTCACCATTCACAGGGTTAGGTTGTCATGGATCCAGTGCACTTATCATATCCGCCGGTGACTCGCCCTCTTCGCCTTGGCTATCAAACTGCAGAATCTTCATTTCAACCTTTCAACTTTACACCATCCTTTCCATTCAGTGCTCTTCTTTGTTCATGTACATGGTTGATGGGTCATAGTAGATCGCCATCGTTCATCGCAACATTCTAGACGTCTTCATCACTGTTTAACAGCCATCGGTTTGTTAGGTATCAGTCCAAGTTTGCCTTGCTTATTTCTCAGTCCACCCCTCCCGAACTCCATCAAGCATACATCTACTATCATGATCGTCTAAAAACCAACATGTCCCGCTACGATAACCTCCCCGACTCTAAAACGGACATCAACCCCTACGACGGCACAGACTCCTACGCCATGATCTCTTCATCTTCACTATCCTCCCCCGACTTCATCGACAAGGCCCCGGGGCCCGCCAAAAGTCACAACAACCTCACCATCCCCAACCTCTCAACTTTCCAGCCCTCCGCCCTCCGCTCGCTAACCACCTCCCCCTTCTCCGAGCACGAACTCCTCTCCCCTTCATTCCAACACATCCGCCGAACCCTCTCCCGCTCCCCGTCACCCTCACGGTCCTTCCAACATGGCCCCGAAGGTCCCAACCCATCCAACCCAAAATCACGAATCATCAACTTCGTCCATCGCAATCGGCCTCTCTTCCAAGTAGCCATTGCCCAGCTCTTCGGCGCTTTGATGAACCTCTCTGCTCGTCTTCTCGAACTTTCTGGCGAAGGGGAAGGGGGAGAAGAAGAAGGAGGAAAAGCAGGAATGCACCCCTTCCAGATCCTCTTTGCTCGAATGTTCCTGACTAGCCTCCTCTCGCTTCTTTACATGCACTGGAAAAAGGTCGAGTTTGCGCCGTGGGGGAGGAGGGAGGTGCGGTGGTTGTTGGTTTTGCGCGGTGTTACTGGGTTTGTGAGTGGTTTTTTTTTTCTTTTTTTTTTTTTTTTTTTTTTTTTTAAGCTCTCTTTGGTGCCCTCTTCGTACGTATCATGGGCATTGTTGGGGCATGAAAGCAGGTGAATGTCGGGTGAAAAGAGGTTGAAAGAAAGTCTTGTGAACTATGACTCCGAAAGTGAATGAAACTGACACATGAAACAGTTCGGCATCTTCCCCCTCTGGTACTCCATGCTCTACCTCCCCATCGCCGAAGCAACAGTCATCACCTTCTTGGCTCCCTCCCTCTCAGGCTACCTCTCCCACCTGCTTCTCAAAGACCCCTTCACCAAAAAAGAGCAAATAGCCAGCTTCGTCGCCTTGGCGGGCGTCGTCCTCATCGCTCGCCCTATTTCCTTTTTGTTTTCCTCACCCCCCTCCACCTCAACAACCGTCTCACCCTCTTTTGATCCCAATACCAACGCCACCAACCTCACCTCCCCCGCTTCACCCGCCACCAATAATATCACCGACGACATCCCCCCCTCCCTCCGCCTCCTAGGCATCGCCTCCGCCCTGCTCAGCGTCCTCGGCGCATCCGCAGCCTACACCACCATCCGCGCCCTCGGCCCGTCCACCCACCCTTTAATCTCCGTCAACTACTTCAGCCTATGGTGCACCTTCGTCTCCCTTCTAGCCTTGCTTCTCTGCCCTTTATTCGACATCGGGCAGGAAGCTACAGACTTGGTACCCGCTATTCGATGGGGTCTGCCCAGAGGGGTTTATCAATGGGGTTTGTTGATAGGGTTAGGAGTCGCTGGGTTTGTGATGCAGTTTTTGTTGACGTCTGGGTTGGGGGCTGGACCTGGTCAGGACGGGGATGGGGGGGAGAAGGTCGGTGAGGGTGAGGGTGAAAGGAGAAGGGACCGACGGGTGACGATGACAAAGGGAGCAACGAAGTCGAATCGGGCGACGGCCATGATTTATACGCAGATGCTGTTCGCAGCGGGGTTTGATAAATGGGTGTTTGGACGGACCATGAGTGGGTGGAGTGTAGTTGGCTGTGGGCTAATCGTTGGAAGTGCGTTGTGGGCTGTTTTGGGAAAGGAGACGGGTGCAGAAAAGGAAGGGGTGAGGGGTGGACAGGAGGGTGCGGATTTGGAGATGGTTGGGGGTATGAGGGAAAGTAGGACGGAGAGTGACGAAGAAGAGGAAGGTGTGCCGATGTTGAGAGGGACAGAAGTAGAAGAAGGGGTCGCATCTAGGGACCAACGGACTGATGACTGATGTGGTTTGGTCATGAGCAGCCTTCTACCTCTACAAAGTAGATACCCAGATTGCGTATACACTGAAAGCAGATTGGCCAAGTGCACCACTGCATTGTTTGCACTCTCCCATCTGTTTCCAAATCGGTACACATACCGAAACCTCTTGTTCTCGCAATCCGTCATCCCGCTCCAAGCATCCTTCTCCTCAACCTCTCCTACCCCCCTCTAGCGGGGGTGACAGGCGTGGGCAATGTGGTGAGTAAATGGAACCCACATTGGGGATAACCTTTTCGAGAAATTGCAGGGTGTAGCAGAGGAACATGACAGGGACAATGTGCCAGTCGATCTTCCTCAAAAGTGAGGAGGGGTCAACGGTTTCCAGATCAGCAGCGGCGTCGGTATTTCGATGCTTATTGAGGTAGGTCCGTGATGCGTCCAGTTCTATGCTCTCCCTGGGACTGACTGTTGGTTCTTTGAAGTTCTTCACGGCTTGCTTAGCATTGCTTGGACCTATGGCTACCATTTGGTGTGATGACACGTCTAGCGACGGATTGAAAGGGCAATGCAGGTAACATATAGATATTTATTTCCGGGTATTGTGTCTTGAGAGACAACACGACGGCTTACGTCGACCATTGTCTCATTCCCCCTCATCTGCCTATCCACAGCTGACATGGCACACGCTCCTGAGTGGTCAAAGGTGGGATACGATTTAGTCCCTGTGGCAGCATGTCAGATTGACTAAAGTCATGCATGGCGCCCATCTGGTTTTGCTGTACCGTAATACTAAAACAAGCGAGCTTGAACTGACAACCATTCATGGGTCCAGAACACAAACCGAGACTTGACTACCGACGAGTTACATCCGTTGTGCGTCCGTCTTGTCCGGAGAAAAAGTGCCTGCTCCCAAGCCAAACCGTTGATATAACTCCACGCTACCTCTCCCATGATTTCTGGGTCAAGCCGTCTATCTCTGCGCCTGCAACTTGTCATTGCATCACCACTGATTAACCTCAATTAAGATGTCAAGTCACGCCCACTTCGGTGTGTCCAACGCCTCCGACAGCAAGCAGAAGCCCAAACCACACATTTTGGCGCCGGCATTTCTGGTCTTCTTCTCGCTCAATCTCTTCAGCTCCATTCGATCCCCTTCACCATCTTCGACCGCGAGCCAAGTCCAGCGGCTCGGGACAAGAAGGAAAACCTGGGTTGAGACTTGGCCCTTCTCTAGTCCTTGGACACTCTGCGCTCACTCCTGCCTGGGAAACTGGTGCAGCGACTGCCGGAGACATACGTCGATAGGAAAGCCGTGGAGGATGGCCGAACGGGAACTTTCCCCTTTTATGATTGAAGCACAGGGGAATTAAAGACTTCTGTGCCAGAGGTGGAAGAATATAGCAGGGTAAGGGTAAGGGAGGAGAAGATTAAGGGAGTTGGTCGGAGTGAGTATTGAGGTGCAGGTGAGTGTTTCTTGAGCTACGTTGCTAAGCAGGTGCGATCATTGTCAGTGGCGTGGCATGATACTAACCGGACTGAATGGGGTTGTAGTGGGACAAGAGCGTCACCCAAGTCGATAACCGAGAGGACTCTGTCACTGTGACATTTGACGATGGGACATCAACTACAGGGACTCTTCTTGTGGCTTGCGATGGTGCTAACTCAGTAATTCGCCGGGCTTTGTTCCCGGAGAAGCAGTATCCGAAGTACCAGATTCCAGTCAGAGTGATGGGTGTCAGACTCGACTGCTCAAGGGAAGAGATTGAGCCGGTAAAGATGCTTGATCCGTTTTTCTTGCAAGGCAGTTGTCCTGCGACAAGGTCGTATGTTTACATCAGCGGTAAGAACGCATTCCAGATTCCGCTAGTGAGATGTTTTGGTGAGGTGTTGACAGAAGAATACCTCTAGTCCTCCATGCGCCCGGGAACTACCCAGATAAGCGAACGGATAAGTATACTGTCCAGGTTGTCGTCTCGTGGCCCATCCGCAGTGGCGTGCTTGGGCGATCGTCACCCGTCCCGGTTCCCGATACCAATGATAAGAAACTGGGGCTTCTCAAGACGTTTGCTAGATCATGGAGTGAGCCCTTCAAATCACTCGTCTATAACGCTCCTGCAGGCACTGAAGTAAAACGTCTCGACCTGACGGACTGGGCACCACCAAAGGGGCTGCGAAGTAGAGGTCGAGTGGCGCTTGTGGGAGATGCCTTGCATCCCATGGCCATGTGTAAGTTTGTCGTCTTTCCCTGGGAAGTAGAAGCGACTGACCCAACGCCTACGTCTAGACCGCGGTGAGGGCGCCAACCATGCCATCTTGGACGTACTCGAGTTTGCGCAAGAGGTACTTCCGTACCTGGAAGATACGACTGCGGAGTTGCGGAATGCCATTGACAGATACGAGGGCTTGGTGATTGCCAGAGCGCGCCCGGCGGTGTTTGCTTCCCGGCAAGCGTGTATTGATGCGCACTGGTGGGAACGAATCAACGGCAGCAGTCCTCTGTTGAGCAGACGAACTCCGAATGTGGACTTCGAGGAGGAAGATGTTCGTACATGGTCCCACTGAGTAGTGGTGGCGAGGTGTTCAGGATGAAGCTCGAATAACTCACGGGGAGAAGAAAAGGGCCGCTTGAAGCACGATGTTCACAGAAAGTCATGGGCGGAAAGGAGAAAGAAAGACTCAATCACCCAGTGACGACAGATCGAGAAAATAATCTCAGCTTGTACGTACCTCCTCTACTTTGGCGCATTGGATCGGTACCCAACCTACCTTGGGTTTCGTGCCCTAACATCTCGCATCGTGCTTGCCATTCTTCACCTCCAAAGTTGCTCTTCCCTTTCACGCCCCCGTATCAGCTAAGAGTACATCCTCCTCTCCAGCGCCTGAGTAGACATCATGATCCCTCGAGAGTCAGGCAATCCAACCAAGCATCTCAGCACTTTTGACTCCTAATATTCTCGAGTTTGGCCACCATCGTTGTTGGCGGCAGTGTTCAGGTTGGAGCGGCCGGGGTATGAGGAGTCCAATGGCCCTGATAGCAGCCGTTCCCGTCATTGCTCAAAGGGCAGATGGAGTCATTATCGTCAGGTGATTCTCGGTCCTGGACTTCACAGAAAGAGGGGGGAGGTACCAGCGAGGTGAACGCATACTTGGTCACCAGAATTACCGGGCAAAAAGAAAAACAGGAATATCAGATATAAATCGCACATGTAATCTCGCGCCATATCACAAGGAAAATAAGCGCCTCCCGCATATACAACACAGAGAAGACTGCAGAAGATGAATCAGCAAAAAGGAAAGTGGAGCAAAAAACATACAACACCAGGGATTCGCTGGTCGTCACCGACCCAACTACTAGTCTGGCCCTCACTGGCTTATCTATGGGAGAGCGGACGGGATCCCGAGTTTTCCAGTGGGTATGGTCGTATGTGCTTAGATGTATCAGATTGCGCACCTATGAAGGACATTTCAGGAACTAGAATTGTACTTAGATTCTGGGTCGGCTAGCGTCGCGCGTTGTTGGCCGGCCGGAAAAAGAGAGCAGGTACGAGGGAGACACTCAGTAATCACTTTTCACCCACTGAAGTAGAAACTCCCGAAACAATGCAGATAAAGTTTTGATTGCTTGGTTTCCGTGTAAACACGTCGAACCGGGACAATGGGGGCAGGAAATGAAGCGAAATGTAATCCACACAAGGAGGGGGATGGAAAGAAGATGGGACAGGAATGTAACATCGCCAACGTGAATAGAACTACTTTTTCCACGAAACGAATGTGACTGGCTAACATTAAAAAGGAATAAGAGTCGTGTTCTCCTCAAGTGTTCCATATTCCCGTGCGCAACCTACGATCTAACTCACCGATTTGTGCTTGATCAGACCCTTCATGTTTCCAAACTCCACCAATTTAGGCCCGTAATATGTCGATGTTCACGATCCATTGGGAATCCCTTTAAGCCGAAACAGGGAAATAGGCCCGGTGGAATTTTCAATTTCATCTTGACATCTTATGGTTCGTTTGAAAGAAATCATTGCCCATCTTTCTGGCCGTCTCCCGATGCATTGCTTCCCCCAGTTGATGCTAGAGGATGGTGATCTTCGTCTCAACATCTTCATCGGAGTCCAAAACGCTCGGGTTATCCCTCACAGTGTGGAAACGGGCTTTGATGCTTCCCGTTCTTCTGTGATTTTGCTTGCTCGATCTTTCCCGCCCCTTCCTGCGCATGCTCCTGCCCTATCCTCTCCTGGGGCTCGTCTTCCCTTCTCGTCACACATGCAGGACGGACCCTCGCTTCTCGGTGATCCTTCGCTAACCGAACACCGAACAATAGCGACCACCCAGTCATCCTCTTCTGGGATAGCGAGGGCATCTACAAGATGCCCGTGGCAGAGGGTAGTTCAAGTCGAGTTTTCCCGGATACGTCCAGTTGATATGGGTTGTCAAAATAGCATCCAGTGCTGTTTCCTCAACGATTGATGATAGTATGATCTTAACGTCGGGTTGCTCGCTTCGGTTTCTGTTTCGCTGCGTTTTCTAGCTGCTGTTGTTCTCGCAAAAAGACTCAGGGAGGAACTCTCCTTGGAAAGTGCTGTCCTTAATCATCATCACGACGAGATCTTTTGCAAACTACTAGTCAGACGGAAGGTACGTATACGTCTAATTGGTGGAGATCCCTCCATCTCGATGTGTTTAGGCAAGTTCGAGTCAGGAACTGCGCGCCCTCAAGATGTGTTCATCCCTCGTTTTGGTTGTTTTGCACTCTGACAGTGCTTCGCCTTTACATCTTTTCTGTGATACGTCGATACAACGCAGATATGACCTCCGTGATAGTCACTTATTTAGCAAAATCAAACCCCCATTCCGCATTATCTCGAAGTGGTCCTGCATCATGGCGCAATCTTCTCATCTTACATCCCTCTACGCACCGATCAACTGGGTCGCCGAGGAGAATATCATCTTTGGACCTTTGGCTACCCCTTTCGTCGACAGCTGGGTTCAGAGAGTTCTTGACAAAAATTACTGGGACTGTTCCGAGGCCTTCAAGAAGCTGATCGCGAGATTCAGGCTGCTTGTTCGGTACGCGGAGAGCTCTGAAAATGGTCACAGCAACTTGGCCAGAGACAGGTTCTTGCTCGAAAGGTTAAAGAGAACCCTCGGTATGCGCGCGTTCCTCCATTACCCTCTTTCTTTCCGGATGCCAGCTTGTAGAACGATGGATGATGTCTCCCGGTAGGGAACCTACTTTCCCACAGTCTTAGGTATGCTGACCTCCTAGGATATACCAGCCAACCCAAGAACCATCAAAAAACCTCCGCTCCGGACAAATCAAAACGCCGACACTTGGTATCGGGCAAAATCTCGGAACTACACACTCTTTCAGTCACTGGTGGACTGCTTCATTTAGAATATTGCAAAGGCGTTCACCGACAGGCACAGAGAGGACTTCATCAAGGAATGCCAAGGCATTGAATACTGGTGTACAAACGGGAATTGGCTTCAACCTCCTTCTGCCCGACCCAAGGTGGGAGAACCGGAGCTCCCGACTCCACAGGAGTACGGCCATGTCCAGCGACCATATGGTCGTATTGGCATTGGCATTGGCTCAGGCAAGAATAGCTCGTCTATCCCTTTCCTTGTCCCGCCTTTTAGACGTCACGAATTACCTACGCTGGAGCCGCCTGCTGAAGCTCGAGGACCCCCTTCGAGATTCGATACTAGGCTGTTGCCTTCGGGACCGAATACCTACCCTTTATAAGGGCACGAGGGTCGGTGATGCCAATGGTGGAAAAACGGAGTAAACGTCAGTTTGGGGAACTTGGTTGTTTGTTTGGTGGGTAGATCCTGGGCTAAGAAGCACGCTGAAAACGTCGCTCATACCCACATTCGCACACGCCTTTGTCGCCAATATTCCATTCGATTGTAAGCCGTTATTGAAGAAAAAGAGAAAAAAGATATAAACTGTAGTAGCATGGGAATAGGCGAATCCCTGTCATCGCCTTACAACTCGCTGCTCCTATTGTCGTTACAATTCTCCTGGCCCATTTTCACTTCCTAGAGGTAGCCATCGGTCGAAGCCCTGTGTAGCCACTATCAGGTTCCCATTCACGCCTAGCAGGGACTATTGACATCGGGAGAGCAAGACGGATCATATGGCAAAGCTAGAATCGTTGTGGAGATGATGATTAGATGGGGAGAGGGGCCCTGAGAACTCTAGGCTGTTAGTGTAAGGTACCTATCGGGAGAAGTTATCAAAAAGTGAGGCGTTGATCACGAGAAGTGTATGTTGCTTGCAAGAGGGTTGACATTTAGCAGTGTTTTCTTGGTATGGTGTATTCCTTGTATCCAAGGTAGGTAGGTTACGGGATGATCTCAAAGAAAAAGAAGAAAAAAAGAAACACGGATAATGGAAAAGTAAGCAGCGCGGAAGGACGAGGAAACGAACAAGAAATAAAGTAGAGAGACAGCCACGAAGGTTGAAATAGACGACGTATTCTAGATATCTGGAAGTACTGGTACCCTCCTCGATCAATCATCCCGTGTTTCTTCCCTACATGTAGAGGTAGACCAGACATAGCAGATAAGAAAAAAAAAAAAAAAAGGAAAAAAGAAATCCCCCAAAGTCGCATCGGTTGCAAGGTAGGTATTCGAAGAAGCGCAATCAGTATAACGGTCCGCGTGTCTGGTGCGTCTGCACTAGGTACGAGGTAAAGATCACTCATTGCCTGCCGATACTACGGGTCAGCACGTTGTAAAGATGTTTGACTTGGTCTGCGGTTTGAACGTACCTGGAGCGAAAAAAAGGCAGGTACTATCACCGACCTCGGCTCCCACACACAAGTGACCATCGTAGCCAAATTTGCCAACGGCCCCGTCCGTCACTCAGCCCTACCGAAACTGAAACCCCCTCGGCTCGAAAGTGATGACTACCAGATACAAGCCCTTGTAGCTGTGTATATGTGTGTCGGCGTCGAGATAGGTACCTAGGTTGAGCCGGCTGATGGGATAAAGCCTTTGACTACCTGCTAGCCTAGCATAGCTTGATCTTGCGTCGCAGACTGGGGTCATCCCATGGTGGATCACCACCTCTTAGCGAAATGACCAGCTCGGCCGACCCAACCGCGTAGTGGCAATTCTCAGCTTCTGTGGTCTCGTCCCCCTGTACCTGGTCTAGAATAAGGAAATAGGCGTCCTGAGACGGAAAACTGTCTCTGGTTACAAGCAAGAGACAATCCCATTGCTCTGTCAGAATTCGTTGATACACAGTCCCTTGGCTTGGGCGGTCAGAACTACAGTTTCGGAAAGATATCCTGGTCTTGTCGGACCGTGACCTCATCGGCGGATGAAAACTTTTGGGTACGAGAACCCCGCTTTCATCACCACGCCCCTTGGTAAATGCCATCTTGATTACCGCGCCTTCCACCCAAAGGTAGTTGGTTAGATGAGGTAGAATACTCGTGGACTCCTTGCCCAATGGTGCTTCCTCCAGAAGGTGTACAAGAGGCACAAGTGTTTCGCCCTTGGTTTGGGTGACCTGGTTCGCGATCCAAACACTTGCGCAGGCTCTGGGTGCATGTGGAGAAAAGCTTTTTCCATCGAAGGCAATTAGTGATGGGAATGTGATTCGTCCTTCCCAGCCGAGCCATGACCAGCTGGGAAAGGCATCTCTTCTCCGTAGAGGTATTCCTTCTTTGTCGGCGGGACACCAGGCGAGGCCAGCGAGAAATCGCCATAGTGCCTGCTTAGAGGTAGCAGACTGCCTGAGTGGAAGAATGGCGGTCAACTCAAGTTGTTGGAGGATTGGAATACCCAAGTATGTAAGTGTTGATATGCGTGAAAGCAAGCCAGTTATAGCGTTCAGGACATCGGATTGATGAGTTAAGCGACGCCCACTGTACTCTTCAATACATTTGTTGAGGACGGCCATGTGCAGCGGAATTTTGTCAGCTGATCTCTCCATTGGTGTGATTGCTTCGAGGAAGTTCTCAGAGCCATACGACAAGTTGATCTTGGGCGGTAGAGGTATGGGAAGAGTACATTCATGCCACACAGCATCCGAGCAGATGAACTCAACCTGGTAATCGGTGAAGATCAGAAGACGGCGTGACAGTATGGCTTCTTGATAAGTCCATCCTCTTGTCATCCAGACTGAAGAGCTGGCCAGCTTTGGAGAACTGATAACACTTGGTCGAAGCGCAGAAAGAGGATGCTTTGGATGTGCCACCGAGGGGTACGGCTTTCTTGCTAGGTTCCTGACACCAGGCAGACCAGAAGCAGAGTCTGGGGTGGAAAATGCCACAATCGTTGCATAAGCGCCTTCATATATAGCAGCCATGTTTCCGATTTGAGCGTGCTTGTCGTCCTCATCGTTTTGATCAATGCAATACTGATCAACCCACAGGTAACGGTCGCCAAGATTTGCCACGACAATCATTGCATCCTCGATGACCTTTGGTATAACATTAGGAAGCTGTCGTGCACCGCGTACCGAGGCTGTTTCTCTGGCGCCTGAAGTGCATCCGCTCCCTGGGGAGGGCTGTTCACCCCAAACATAACTGAGAGCGAAGTATCTGTCCGAGGTCTGTATCTCGACGATCTCGCGCGTGTGGCAGTCAATACACCGGACCGCAGGCCCGAGTCCTTGCTTATCGGACATGTGTTTCGCCTTCCTAGCTGAGGCACATGTGTCGTGGTGAGTCTCACAATGTCCGCACCATGCCCGTAGTAAAGGATAATTGATGGATGTTGTCGAAAAAGGCAACGCGCTTAGGCTTGGTTTCTTGTGGCTGAAGAATGGCGCAGCTGTAAAGGACTGTGGAACTATCCAACCGATTTCTGATAGAACCTTAATGTAACAATTGCCCCTGGTCCAACGAAAGAGGCCGTCCTCAGAGCCCTTGGCTTTGCCGGGGATAACACACAGCACCATAGAAGGAGCATAGTGCGAGGCAAAGTAGGCCACAGAGGGTGTATAAACGTTCCCCAACAAGAACGATCGCAAGGTGTAGACCTCTGTTTCGTCATGTGATTCGGTTTTTTGACATCGCATCGAATAGAAAAACTGACAAAGTACGCATTTCGTCTCCTGCTTTAGTTTTCCAAGGTACAACAATTGATTGGGTTTTCGAGCCATGCTGGGGGCTTCATGGTCAAAGAAGTCCTTCATATTGATCATCTTGCATCGAATGCATAGCTTGACCGTTTTTTTGTTCGGAATTTGAGGGATCTTTCTTGAAGTCATCGATAGCTGATGCAGCCCTCTATCAGTGCTGCCAGTCATATCGCCGGCATGATGAACCAACGGCTCGCGCCACGACGAAAAGGAAGAACCCATGCAGAAGGCGTGAGGGTATGGAGTATTTCCTTTGAAGTTGTTAAGAAGACTGCTGAGATTGATGAGGTCGCTGGTTTTCGGCAAAGCTGACGCGGGCATTTTCAGTTGTTGTCGCCCAACGGTCACCTGATCTCTTTAGCGTAGGCAAATTATCTGTCGTCAGTGGCTGATGCCCTGCGACGATGGTTGGCTGCATCACGACAGCTGTATGTTGTCTGATTTTGGTGAGCCAGGCTCAGCCAGGTCAGGGAGACGTGTTCTTTCTATACAGAGCCTCACCTCTCAGTCGCTCTCATTGGAGATTCATACTTCAGTTTTCGATTAGTTGGTGGTCGTCTGAGTGGGTGGTAGAGTTATTGTCTGTGGAGTTTCCGTTGGTATCTGCAGTCAAGCCATAAGCGAGAGGAAGAAAGAAGAGGAAGGGCGTCGAAAGATGGAAAGAAGGAAGAAACGAATACACAAGGTAATGGACCAGACGTCATAACGATCTGTGAAAGCAATCCGCGGTATGTGAGAACGTCTTGCAGCATCACACGCGAAACAACGACTTCTAGACTGACTCGAAGGCATCGATATACCTGCAGCCAAAACTTCAAAATATTCAAGCCACGTCCCGATAACAAGTATCAATGTCCGACATGCCACGCCCATCAACAGAAACACCCACCTCGCCCACCGTTTACTCGCTTCTCTTTGGCTTATTCGGCAGACCATACCAACAAATCATCATAACCACAAACAACCCAATGACAATCGGATGCAACACAAAAGTGCCAACTGCCTGCGCCAGCAAACCCGTCGTAAACGGAGCCGCTGCGCCTCCCGAGCTCCCAAACGCCGAAATCACACCCATCCCACTAACCTGCTTCTGCTTGCTTATATTCCGCATAAACACCGCTGCTGCACACGGGTACACGGGCCCCAGCAGCAGACCAACAATGGCAACAGCCACTGCGTTTCCAATCAAGTTCGGCACCAGCCAGACCACCAGCTGGAAAGCACACGCTCCCACGACGACGATAACCACAAACAACTTCTCCCCAATCCGATGAGCCGGCGGCGCCAGCAGGAACCGACCCAGCGTGATGCCGCCCCAGAAACCAGCGGTCACATAACCGACTGAGCCATCGTGCACATGGCGAGAGTCCATCAGGAAGGTGTTCACCCAGCCGGAGATACTAACTTCGGCGCCTTGGTAGGCAAAGATGAACAGGGCACCAAGAAGGACAACACGGTTCGACAGAGCAGAGACCATGGCCGTGACGTCAGCACGCCAGTCACGTTTGGGTACCGCCGTTGAGCCCGACTGGCCACCACTTCCACCAGCAGAGGAACCCAAGTGCTGCTGGGTATCCCTCTCGTAATCCCAAAACGCACACGTCGCACACACGCCCCCAGAACCGCCAACCCCAAGCTCACGGCATAGTACCGACTCCACACCACTTCGAAGACCGTCACCATGGCCGTTGCCAGCAGCGGGCCGACGGTACCTCCAATGCCATACGAGCCGTGCATCATACTCAACGCCGTAGTGGAATTGCTCAGCGATCCGCAGAACACGTTGCCCATGGCCAGATTAATCGACATGCCGAACCCGACAAAGAAGAAGGACACGACGATGGCCGGGTACGGCGCGGTGGCGATCATGGGGATGTATCCCAACGAGATGAGGCCCTGGCCGACGGCGAGCGTCTTGGCACGCCCTAGTCGCTCGCGGATGGCGTCGACGAAGAAGGCGCCGGCGATGAAGCCGAGGGCGTTGCCGACGAAGATGAGAGAGACGATGGCGTAGCCTATGTTGTAGTACCTGCGTTGTTACTGGTCAGTACTTCTGGGGGATGATACTGCAGAGAATGGGAGAGACAACACGTACTCTTCGATGGAAGGGATCAAAGCACCCGGCGCGGAATCGCTCATGCCGTTACTCAGACTGATCAAACACATGGCCAGTAACCGCCAGCGGTTCATGTAAGGCTCCATGATGCTCTGCATCGCCTCGACGCCATCGATGTTTGCGCTATCATCGTTGACAGAGTCCGCTTTGGGAGTTCCTGGACGGCTTTGCTCCTCCAACTCGGGGCCGACGCTGAAGATAGTCGTCTCGGTACGAGACTTGGGGAGATGGCCGGAGCTTGAAGTAGAAGCGAGATTGATCCGAGATGTTGAAGCCGACTTGTTGGGTTTTGGGGTACGGGACAGAGGTTGAAGTTCGATACTTGCAGCCTCTTGTGGAGCACCAGGGTAGGTCCGGGCTACGGCTCTTCCCGGAGCGGAGGGAAGTTTGAGAGCCGGTGCGCTTTCGACGGCGATAAGGCCGTGGAGCAGGATTGCGTCCATGATGAACGAAAGTCAAGTCACGGCAGATGCCAAGGTGGTGTGTGCTAGGCAATTTGCCAACACCGACGGCCGATGGAAAGAATCAGAAAACGATGGATGAACGGACTGTGTTCTGCATGGCAGGAACAATGGAGGTTAATAAAGGCGGCCCAAAGCGGGGCTGTCGACGAACATTGGATCCTCACGATAACTGAAAGAAGCCGATGGGGGTCTGGCCCGTCTGGCTAAGCTTCGGGCCGCCATCGCGTAAAAGGAAAAGGTCTCCCGGGCTCCAGTCATATCAGTCGGCGCTAATCGAGGCGTGCAGACTGCAGACTGCAGCGGGTGAACATCGGCACAAACAAAAAGGTCTCTAATCTCGTGACTCCCGTCAGCATGCAGGTACGTAATTCCGCGTATAAGTGGCCGCCTAGGACACTTCACTCACAATCACTCTCCTCCGGTTCATTACTCTATGCATATAGCTTATATAATTCTGTGATCTGTGTTTTTCCTCTTGCAAATTTGATCCCTGCCAGTTTGTATCACTTCCGATTTGTTGCTCACTGGATTTATCTCCTTGTCTGCTCCCATGCGCGTCATCTTCTCCTACTCAACCTCAGCTCCATCTGTCTCTGCTGAGGAGAGATTGGGCTTGTTATATCTCATTACTAGCTGGTAGTTTCAATGGTGAACAAGTAGTGCTAACATCCTTTGCCTATCTGTGAACGTTGCCGGGATTCTGCAGGTAGAAACCCAATGATCGGCTTGAAACGGCCGAGTTAACAATGAATCCATTTTTGTTTATGCCAAGAAAGGTGTAGGTAGCTACGAGGTTTGAACACATCGGTACTCGAAGAGAAACACCATGAGAGTCTTTGGAAGTCCTGGAAGCAGCGTGGTTAGCACCTACCTTGATGACTCGGAAAATGAAGGCAAGAGCATTTCAGGCAAGATGAAGAAAATTCAAGGATGCAATTTATGGTACTCTCCATTATCATAGGTAATTATCACCAGCAGCACCATGACATCTTCAGCACATCAGCTTGGTAGAAGCAAAAACAAAGTCAGCACGCAAAAGCCTCGAGGTGTCCAACACCACACATACTCGGATGTTAGCATGTTACCAATACCCAACACAAGAAAAAATACACCCACTGATGCCGCGGCTTATCTTTATCCCAGGCGACTACACCACCACCACCTCGGCCGAACCCTTCACTTCTCCAGCCTCCGTCTCAGCCCCAGTCCAGTCCAGTCCAGTCCAGTCCAGTCCATCCTTCATCCCTTCGCCAACACCTATCGAGCCTCGTTCCATCAGGCACTCCAACTCACCGACCGCCAAACCCACGCACTCACCCACATACATCAACATCATAACCACGCTCGCTATCAATAGAAGATGTGCCAACAAACCATAGAAACCTTTCCCTGCTCGACCCCCGGGTGCCCAAACGAGAGCATGGGAGACCGAATATACTATGTCGATCGGTGCGAAGAGGTGCTGCGTAACCCGCACATGAGTTGGGGTATGTGCGGAAACGTACAGGTGGTAACGGTATCGATCGATACGCACTCGTTCTGTCTAGAATGCACGAGGGGTCTTTACGTGATGGATGGTTCAACTTGGCATTCGAGATCTGGTTCTGTCAGTTAGCGTTCGGAACGATGAGTAGAGAGAGGTTCATGCTATGAAGCGAAGGCAGGCAGGGGTTTTGGCATGAGTACCTAGATACGTATAGAAGGCAGGTGGTTGTCAGTTCTCTTGTCGTACGTACGTGGTTGAATGTGACGAAGCAGTAGAGACAAGATCCTACGTTGTCGGGCGGAAGGAACCAAAAACAAGAAACAAGATGAGGAAAACATCCGGACACTCATCTTTATCAACGACACACACAGCGGAATCGCAGCGACGAATCAAGATGACAAAACCTGCAAATAATCTCAAGGTATGCTCGTCTTCCCAAACTGAACCCATCCATCCACGTTTGAAACAGAAACCAAAAAAACGCCCCAAAAACATTGACTTACCGTTACGTACACCGTAGATTGGAACTGAAACCAAACCACCCCTCAACCATCCTGAGCCACCACCAAACTCTACCTGCAGCCGGTCCCAATCCCAATCCTACCTATCCAAATTCCAACTTCTTTTCTTCCCCAAAACGAATCATAGGTAGTCACCGTCCCAACGAACTCAATCGAGCGTCCATTCAGTAGGCACGCACCAACCCCATCCATCATCGATCCTCACCAGCGAAAGAAAAAAAAAAAAAAAAAAAAAAGATATCCCTCGCTTGCTCCACTTCTCCCCCTCCCCCAAAACTATAAAAAAAAATAAAAAAAAAAAGGAAAAAAAGGATGACAGTGGTTCACTGAACCGCTAGCATCACTCACTACCTTACCTACTTACTGGACAATGCTAAAGGTCACTAGTCAATAACTGATACGTTTGTTCGCTCGCTTGCTTTTTTTTTTTTTCCCCCCTTTCTTCCCTTCTTGGCGCGTGCCTGTTGTTGTATCTTTTACCTTGTGTCTTCTGCCTTGTGTCTGATTAAGTGACTGTCTGTCGGTCTATCTGTTGTGTGTCCATCGTGCACAGACCTTATAGCAAATGAGGACTGTCTTATTCTTCGCTAAATACATTTAAGCTGAGGAAACATGGTCGGTAACGAGACGTCTTTTCTAGTTGTGAGCTCTGACTTGAACCTATATAGTCATTACAAAGTGAAGAACCTCTGTGTTCGAACGCTGACACATGAGACACGCATTCATGACAAGAGTTGACACAGACAAAACATTATAGCAATGGCAAGACACCCGAGTCAACGTTTGTAATAGTAGTAGTAGCAGTAGCAGTAGAGTAGTAATAGTTAAAGAGGTTAAGGTAGGTAGAGTAAGTTAGGTAAGAGTAGTAGATATGCTATGACTATCGTATGATAACGAGGCGAACAACGTGACCCCGTTTTGATAGTGTAGTAGTAGTGTAAATGGAAAATAAGAGATATAATAAAAATAAGCTGATAAAAAAAACGGGGGGGTATTTCCGAGTACTACTAAAAACGTTCTTGTTTGACTCTCTCTCTCTGCCAACGTCACAATACTTTGCGCAAAACCCTTTCTTTCTCGACTGTAACACCCAAACGCGCACAACACCCAGGCACCCAGCTAGCAGGCAAGCAAGCCAAACCAGTGCAAGCAACTGAACAACAAAAGCCAAACCGAGCCGACCAGACCAGACCAGACCAGACCAAACCCAACCCCAACCGTAGTAGTAGTAGATAAAAGAAAAACCGTGAGGACTAATAGTAGTGTAGTGGTGAAAGGGGAAGTGGTGGAAGGGGGGGTGACGAGTGTCACAGACGGTATAGCAACCATCATCTTCTTCCTTTCCCCAACCCTAACAATGCAAAACGATGCAAAAGATTAAAAGAGCATTAACAACAAAACGAAAAGCTTTGAAAGCTAGCAGCAGTCAGTCCTGCAACTGCCACTGCCGCCAAGGCATCTCTCCAAGAAGGCAATGAATGCTTCTCTCTTTTTCTTCTCTCTCGGTGTCCTCTTTCACTTTGGCCACATCAACCTATGACCTTCCAACATTGGCAGCCGCAGCGGCCGCAGCAAACTGCTCGGCATACGCTGACCCCTGGGCCTGCATCTGAGCCATCAAGTCCGCGTTCTCCAACTCACTTTCGACATCGCCGATATACGCCAACTGTGCCCAGACCCTCCAGTGGAGAACGCCAAAATGGGCGACCCGCATCGCCATGTCCTCGACACCGGCCTCCTCGCGGGGGTCCCTGTTGCTCGATGGGCTTGAAGACGTAGCGGTCGTTGATGGCTCACTACCGCCAAGGCTCTGGATGCCCATCACCTTGCTGGCTCCAGGGGTGCGAAGGTGATCGCCAGCTCCACCGGCATTCCAGGCCCTAGTGCCAGGGGTCTGGATCCTTCCACCAGTTGCGCGCGAGAAGAGGCCAACGCCAGAGAGATTCCTAAACTCCTTGACCTTGACCGCCACTTCGCCTAGCAGCTTTTGCTGGAACTCGGCTTCAACCTCCCGGAACACTTCGCATGTGGGGTCGCCTAGTACGCGGACAAGGTTGGACTCGAGCTCGGCCAGGGACGCCTGAGGGTGGTTGACAAAGCGCAGAATCTGAAGGGCCATGGCGCCGGCAAGGTTCTTCCACCTGTAGTCAGGACGGCTGGCAGGTGGAGCGGTGTGGAGGAGGGCGAGAAGAGACGAGTAGAGCTCCTGTGCCTTTCGGCGGGATTCGGCAGAGTCCTGAGCAGGGATGCAAGAGCCGGTAGTGGGTGGGAAGATGACGGAGCTGCGAGGAGAGGAAGGAGTTGATGATAGGGAGTTGCGGTCGCTAAAGGTTAGACTAGAAGGACGGGAAAAGTTGAATTCCGCGGACGAGCGGGTGCTTAGTGTACGGCCGTTGTCGTCAGATACGTAAGCAGGAACCCCGGAGGAAAACTGTCTCGAGAGGCTGTCGTAGTCCTCATACTTGCGCATGCAAATCTCGAGGCAGATGCTGTCATACATATCTGACCTGAGCTTGAGGATGCGCTCCTCGTCGAAGAGGAAGGTGTTGGGAATGTTTCCGGTAGAAGTGGAAGGCAGTACGAGATGTGTGAGGGCCTCGAAGAAAGTGCCGGTCTCACCAAAGGCTTGAGCATGAGGGCTGGGGGTGTTGGCGTAGGCGATGGAGGCGGCGATCTCAGCGTTGCGGTACCACTGCTTGGCAGCAGCAATGCTAAGCTTCCTCGCCTGAATCTTCTTGACGAAGAAGCGCTGCTCAAAGTGAACTGTGTCCTCGATCAAGACGGGGCGAAGGCATCTGATCTGGTGGTTGGCAACATCCAACTTCATGGCCTCCAGCACACTAAGCAGATTCCTCATTCCCTTGACCAGCTCGCCCATGTCATTGTTCCGATTCCCGTTGCTGAGCTCATTGTACATCTCGTCCACCCACTCATCGCGCATCGGTGCGCAGTGTAGCTTCAGAACGCCGGAT